TGGAGCCTTGCGTTCACGGGTTTCATATTGCTATAAGAGAGATACCATTCTCCATCAGATTTTGTAAAACTCCCTGTTTAGCTCTGTGTGTTGATGAATGATCAAAAAACTCTTATATTTTGCCAAATAATTTGCTATAAAGAAAGATATGTCCAACAAGTTATGCAATTACCATTATTAATCAGCTTGTGTCTTTACAAGATGAAGGGAATCTTATTTTATACTGGAATTTTTAGCTGATGAGCTGGATTCATGCAGTTTCTTTCCCTCCTCTTTAGAGAGGGATGGAGGGGAGTTAATTCAGCCAGTGCTTCAAGGGACCAAATATCCCCTGTTTATTAATTAATAATATCCATCTGGATTATGTCAAATTATTCCCCCTGCATTTCCATGGATTTTTAGCCAAAGAAAAAGTATTCTGAGCCCTGTTGTATCAATTTGGAAATCTTTGGAAGCCCGGCTGTTCTTTCCTTGTTCTAGCACCTACAAGTTACAGGACATCAGGAATGTGAGTGGAGGACAGATGATGGGAGGAGGCTGTGCTTGTGAAATCTTCTTTTGATGTGTGGAAACAACCAAAGTAGGGTTCTTGAAAGCCACTACAAGCCAAAAAAAGTCCTCTGACACTGAACATCTCAAGAAGATGAAAACCTTCCTCCCGTTTCCATTGTCCCTGGCCTGAGCTTTTGATCTGACGCAAGAAACGTGGTATGTGTCTGAAGTTTAGAAAGTTTATGCTGGCAAATAGAAAAGGGGGAGGTGGGCTGAGTAAGCTGGGACTGAGCCTCAGGCACATAACGCTGATGACCCTGCCGAGGGCCCTACGCGTGCGCGGGCCCCACGGTGAGGAGCCAGGCTGTGAGCCACGAGAGAAGAGCCAGCGCCAGATCCTGTACAGAGGTGAGCCCCGTGGCTCTGTGGGACCCAAAAAAGCCCAGGGGTGAGTTTTTCAGACAATAACCTCTGGCGCTGGCGTGGCCTGCGAGCTCCTCGGCCAGGGCAGTGCGTCATCCCTCCTGCGCTCCCTTCGTGTCCTCGTGCCGTCTCCTGCCTCGGGCCCGTCTCCCGCTGTGGGGCTGGCAGGAGACACGGCCCCAGTTCAGCTTTTCCCAGCTTTCTGACTCGATCAGCTGTGGCTGAGAGGTGGGGTCTTGGAAACCAGGGACAAGCCCTCATGCTGGTGGGACCTCTGTTGCCAGAGGCTCCAGTTCAGTGTGTCCATTTAGGCTCACATGTGACTTTTTGCTTCCATTCGTGCAAAAAGACAAAAGCCTGAGTGTTTTGCTGAGTTGAGGCCATCCTCCTGGGGAGGAAAGGGCTTTGTGTCTTCTGCAGGGGTCTGCCCTCCTGACACCGCAGGCAGCAACCGCAAGCACTGCCCTTCAGGTAGCTCTCTGTACCTGCTCTAGCTGGCTGGGTGACTAACATTACCCATGGCATCAAGACACATTTCATTTAGGTGGTGGCATTAGGATGCCTCTATTCTCCATTTTTTTCCTAAGAAGTTGTGCATTGGAAGTGGTGAGAGTAACAGAAATGGGCACTATTTGCCATGAGGATTTCCCATCCAAGCCACGTGTCCTTCTTCAGTTGGTGTTAGCCCCCTCTCTACTTCAACCTTATTGACTAGAAAATACCAAGACTTTAATACTGAGACTTTAATACATTGCACATTTTGCTAATTTGCTTCCTGGCTGTGAGCCTCTGTGGTATCATTTTCCAACAGTTTACTCAGAGGGCTAGAAACTTTCTTTTTTTGTTTAATGAAAGTGGGAATTCTCATGGAGTCCCTTGACTCTGGCAATGGCAGCCTTAAGAAAAACAGAACGTGACAGAAAATAGATGAATAGCTCCAGCGCTCGTGCAATAATGTGTAAGGACCCTGTTTGTGCTCTGTGCTGCGCTAGCTTAGGAGAGGACACTCCTTGTTGAAAGAAGTGTGTATAGTTTGAGGTTTTGAGTGTGACTAAATCCCTCGTGCCTTTCCTTCTTTAGTTTGGCTCTGTGGATCTCGGGGATGTGAGAGTTCTCTTCTTTCTACTTTATTTCTTTTGGGCACTTCTTCAGTCCTAATCATAAAAACTAGAATTTCTCAGCGATTTCAAGTCTGGAGACTTCCTGACCTCTATCATTTTGTGCCCAGGGAAAATAAACTTGTTACCATGGTTCGAGCCCTAATGACTGCTAAGTATATATAGTCGATTTATAAAAGAGCATACGGGATTATTCTGTGCATGCCTTTAAAGCTTTTACAGCATTTATCAGCAGAGCGCTCATTTAAAACATGTTGTTTTAATGAACAGGATACCGTTGCCACTGTTTTGTGTTGATTATGTGGCAACACATTTTTATTATCACCCATAAAAATGCTTTGGAGCTGTTCCACTCCAGATGCAACCTTCGGCAGGGCTGTGCTGGTGCCGCTCACGCCGCCAGGGAGGGCCCCTGCCCCCTGCGGTTTGCTGGGCTCTGACCATCACTTCTATTGATTTAATAGTACCTCTTCCCACCCCGCTCTGGGCTGGGGCAAAATACTGTCCAAAGACAGCCCTTTTCAGTCCCTTCCTCACAGCAGGAGCATCCCAGCCCTGCCCTGGCTCCAGCCTCTGTCATTTCCCATCTCCCAGATCAGTTTTACCTCTGTTGCCCCTTGGCAACAGCCAGGTGTTGTGCTGGGGGAGTAAGGGGTTAGATAGTCTAGATAGAAGAAGACAATCTAGTAGTATAAAGTTATATACTATAAAGAGAAGAATCTAGATAGAAGAAGATAATCTAATAGTATGAAGTGATTCATACTATTACAGTTGGACAAGATGATCTTTAAGGTCCCTGCCAACCTAGAAGATTCTGTGATTCTGTGATTCAGAAAAAGATCTTCAATGTACACTTGAGTCCCATGGTGAAGGGAATTAAGCACAATTCTGGTCAGGCACAGGCTTAAGTGTTTGTTGAATTGATAGTGTGTGTCCTTGAGAGACAAGTCATTGGGTACAAGCACAGAGCTGCATGAGACAGACCGAACCAGTTCCCTGCTCACCTGGCATCAGAGAAGCCTGTTGAGTAAAAGCATCGTGACCTGATTCCTTTTTGCTTTCTTATTACTCAGAAAGCAAGATTCAGGATCCGTGAATAAAGATCCTTGCAATAAAGGAAGAATTTTGCTTGTTTGCAACAGCTGAGGTTCAGTTCCCTTGCACTTAACCCAGCTCCCAGTTCAATTAGTTTCTGGTTCGCCCCTGTCAGGCCAGTGCATTCTGCAGGAAGTTCATCATTTCTGGCGCTGCAGCAGTGCTGGCTCTCACCCTGCCTTGTAATAAATAAGTGATAAACCTTGTAATAATTGCAAGTTAAAAAACAAACAAGCGGAGCCAAGTCACTCTCATTTATAATTGCAGTGTGACTTCATTATGTAAAGACAACGCTGCGTGTAAAAGCTGAAACTTCTAGGGATTTGGTGGAAAGTTTGAGCCTTATTCTCTTTTATTTCTCTTAGCCCTAAATCAGTCTTTGCTTAGGTGGTTTCCAAACAGGAAGAGACAGTGCTTGAAAACCACGGGGTTCTACCTCTCCAACAATTTTGCCGTGTAGCTTTGTGCTTAGAAAGCAGACTTTGCTGGAGACGCGGGATGCTTGGCTCAAAACTCTTGTTCTGGAAACCTCAGCCCTTCTTCTGCCTGATGGGCATCCTGCGTCCGTCCTGGGCCGGGATGGCTCCAGCTGCCAGGTGAGTGGCAGTGTCACTCTGTGTCCCAGCCATGGCTAATGCAGGGGCTGCCGACCCTCTGGCTGTCCCACCGGGAAGGTGGGTGCTGCCCTTGCCCTCTGTTTGGTTTCTGACCAGCATTTGGGGTAAAATCCATTTTTGCAGAGCACGTGGGCTCAGCGTTCCAGGTCAGTGCTCCTGATGGGTTAAGCTTTTTCAAAAGACATCTGTAGACTGTTTTGTTATGGCACCCTTGCTTAGTGCCTGGAAGGTAGAGGGATGAAGCATTTCCATTAAAATAGAAAATTAATTTTTTTTAAAGCCTAATTTTGTAAAAACTTTAATTAAAAATCTTGATTGTAAAGGGCAACGAATCCCCTGGGCTTCGCTTTAATGGAGTTTGTCAGTGGGCAGAGTCCACCTGGGTCCTCCATCCCTCTGCTTCCCCTGGATGCTCAGGCTTTTTGCAGTTAAAGACTGACTGCCAGTTGCACGGGGCCACCAGTGGCCGGGGGAGCACAGCTTGAGGAACAGCCCCCTAAACATACAGGGGAAACAGGGTCAGTTTGCCAAGGAGTTTAGGTTGTAAACGACCCAAATAGCTCAGGGACGCACATTGGGATGTGGAGTTACTTGAAGGTAAAGTGTTTACAAGGTATAGAAGCAGTTGTGAGTTTTAATAATATCCTATTACTTTTAAGTAGAGCTCTTTGAGGAAATTGCCTGCCGTGTTTTTTTGTGTTTTTTTTTTTTTTCTCCAAAATTACAGCACTTCAGCTCTTTCAAAGCTTCATATTCTCCATCTTTAATTTGGTCAGCATTTGTGCCTTGACTTACAACCAGGACTTGTCCTGAGGCACCCCAGTTTGTTGCCCCGGGCACCTGGGGTACAGCCCTTTGCCTTGGACCAGCTCTCAGTAATTTCTGACTTTGTGACTCTGGATCTGAACGTGTCACCGAGCAGTGAAATGCTGTGTCCCCCGACACCAGCCCCTGTCCCTGGTTTCATGTTTCTCACCAAGGAGTCAATCCCGTGTGAGGCTGAGTCCCTCTGGAAGCAGTGAAGCCCTCTCCAAGGAGGGCATGTGCAACTTAACCCAGCAGCTTCCTACACTAATTACTGCCACTTTCCAGAAAACTAATAGAGCTTTTAACACCAAAACCCTGCAGTCTGTGATGTGGAGTTATTCACAGCTCCTGCTGGCAAGGAGAGGAGTTTCAAGAACTCTTCAGGATTGAGACCATGTATGAAACCATCCCGCTGACCTTGTTTGCCTTCCCCACGTCCCCTCTCTAGATCCTTCTGCTCGAGGCTGCGGAGCGAAGCCCACCCCTGGAGAACAACCTGCCCATCACGGGGACGACAGCCACGTGGTACGATGATCTGCTGCCAGATGCCTTTCCCCTGCTGAATCCCGGCACCGTCCTGAGAAAAACAGTGGGATCTGTTGGTAAGTCCTTCCTGCTCTTCACCAAATTGCCCGTCCTACTCACGCCATTCCTGCAGGGGAACTGAAAAGGAGGCCGTGTCAGTCTGCCGTAGTGTTGGAAGCTGCAGGGGAGAGGGCTTGGAGGGAGACACCAGCAACTCCTTCCCTCTGCTCTGTAAGGGAGAAGAGGGTTAGGACTTTCAGGTCTCTTTTGTTTCCTGCAGTGTGTTTGATCCATCGGGGAGCTGTTGGTGGGGGCGGCCACGCTCAGGCTGATGAGCACCGGGCAGGCAGCCTTGTGTGGCACGAGTGGCTCCGTGTCTGCACGTTGCTTTGCACACTCAGCAGTGACACCGTAGCTTTGGCAATGAGCAAACACTCGCTGCAAGTTGGGATTGTGCTCAGCAGGAAAACCACCCTGTGGAGAGGCATTTTGAGAGCTTTTTGGTCAGAATGGGTGGTAGAGACCAGATTCCTGCAAACCAGGGACTGTTCACTCCAAAGGTTTAATGTTGCCTCTGGTCCCTCCCTCTGCCGAGCTGGGAATGCAGAGGGGGTCACACGCCAACACACATGCAGACTGGGTGTTGAGGAAGGAATTCAGTCTTCTCTGATCCCACCTCAGACCATCCTTTCAGCTGCAGCAATCTGGGCACCATTCCTCAGGGCCTCTTTCCACCACCCGTGCTGGGATGAGGGTCACCCCTTCCCAAAGAGAGGGACATTTGGCTTTTCTCTCTGTGTCTCTGCCCCTCCTTGAGTTACGCCAGCACCGAGGAGGCACGTTCCTGGAAGAAAGCAGCTGAGCTCAGAAACTAACATATTAAGCTCCATTTTGCCAGCCTTACTGGCCCGTTGCTAGCCTTGATTTCTGTTGGCACAAGCATCTACTGAGAGCTGACTTCTGGTCTCACTAAAGTTAGATTTCTGTTGACCTGGGTAGGGCCACTCTGCCTGTGTCTTTCGGTGTACACATTTTAAGTCCAAAGACTGTGGATTTTAAGGCCTGGATAGATTGAAACATTCCTGGGGAAGCTCCAGAGAACCATCAGGATCACAGGGGGACAATTCATACTTGCCTACTGAGCGCCGAACGCCGTGTTTCCCTGTCTGGGAGCGGAGCGGGGAGGTAGAGGACTGGGGTAGGGGTAATTCTTGGTTTTATTAGGAGAAAAATCTTTCCCATGAATAGCTACATCAGTTGCACTCTGCATTATATTTTTTAAATTTACCATAAACACAATGGGCTGTTTTATGATCCCTCTTGTGGCATGAAAAAAAAATACACTTATAAGAAAATCTCCCTCTGAGCCCACTTGGCTAGACAGATCCCCACGCATTGAATTTCCTTGACCTTGGCATTCTCATTTCAAGATCCCCGTGCTCCACTTCCAAAGCCCCGTCTGTCAGTTGCTTTGCTTGCTCCCAGAGCAGTTCTTTAGTTCTTTATCCTCTATAGGGCCTGCTTTGCCTTTTTTTCTTCTTTTTTCTTTTTTTTTTGGGTCAGAGCAGTTTATTATGGCAGCCCTTCATGACTGCAGCAGACTTGGAGCAACCAACATAGACCAGATGTCGTCCATGTTTATAATTTGACAGGATGCCACTACATGGAGGGAGGTTCTCTAACAATATGTTCTGCAAAGTATTTTCAGAACCACAGTTACAGCTGCCAGGAACTGAATTAAAGCAGTTTCCCCCAGTGTCCATTATATGCTCGTTCTGCCTTCTCCATGTCATTTATTTTTGCTGTTGCAGTATCTCTGCACCTGCACTTCATTGTGCTAAAGTCAATCCAGCAAAAGTACTGACGACACTGTCCCTTCCACTCAAAGTCCCCTCCTCTCAGAGGCTCCATAAACATATTATAACCCCTCTTTCTCAGCAAGGAGCAGCGAATGCCGCTCTCCCAGGGCTTTGGCAGCGCTGCGAAGCAGAACAGATCTCCTGTAGCTCGTGCATCAGGCTGACTCCATGCTCTGGTACCCGCACCATCCACCCCTGCATAAATCCCCACAGTAGCTAGTGATCACCTCCAAAAAGCAGGTGATGATGTTGCCTGAGCTGTAGGTGAGTCAGGAGACAACGGGCTGTGTGTGCACGTGTTACAGCCCTGCCCGCCTGTCCTCCTCACTCACTGGTACCCTTTATTTTTCTAGCTTTGGTTTATTTAGCCTAGTGTGGAATAACAAATCTAGCATAATGACTAGGAACCAGGCATGCACTGGACCATTTCAGGTCGGGACAGTGTCTTTTAGGAATTAGAAGTAATCAGTTCAGTTGCTTATTGACATGTGATTCCCTGCTTGAGCCCCTACCAGAGGGAGCTCTGTGGGCTTCAAATGCTTGCTTTGCTGAGGAGCTGTGGGAATGTTTCATGGATCTGGGTCCACATTTGGCTTCTTTCCTCCACCCCTACACGTCTCAATCCACAGTTCGAAGCCAGCCAAAAAAACACACTGTGGATTTTGGTGAAATGTAGGGAATTTCACGCAGTTGGTTTAGGGTGGTGGGGGACTGCCCATTTTGCAAGATTTCAACACCGAGCTGTGACTTGCTGCTCAAAGCTGGCCCCCAGTTCACTTACAGAGATTGGAGACCCCGGGAGATCTTTCAACAAGTGTGATATTAGAGTCAGTGTAAGTCAGACTTGAGCATCCTGAGTGATCTGGGGTTGTGGAAAGCCCACCCTCTCCCCCAGAGGTGCTTCTTGTGAAATGTTGCCTACTTTGCCCTGCTTGTAGTCTCTCAGCCAAGGCAAATCCAAATCCTAGCTTGCAGGCCACCATGTTTCCAAAGTGGACGGACAAAGGGCAAGATGTTGGTGCCCACCACAAGGATGGTTGATATGGAGTAGATGCTTTGAGTGGTGGGAGTGTTTCTGGATGACCTTACAGCGCTGGGCTGGCTGACGCCGCTGCGGGCTGAGGTCCAGGGAAACTGGCTACTGTTTATTAGGGTGGTTATTTCTTCTGTGAGTGACAGGGCTGAGAACAGACAATCATTTGAAAGCAACCAGAGCTGTTGAGACAGCTGCACCGCTGGCCTTTCTGATCAGCTTGTTAATCAACAGGATACATTTTACTGAGTATTAAGAAAATATATATACTCTGGCTGAGCCAGTTGGCAGCAAGAGACCTAATTTTTCATATCTTTTTTCCTTTTTTTTTTTTTTTAAAACCCTGACCCTCTTCACTAGAGCCTAAGGGACACAGAGGTGCAGAGGAGCAGCTAATTCCACAGGGTAAGTCAGTGGTTTCTGGTATTTCCTCTTTCAAAGCACAAAACGTTGCTGTGCCCACTCCTGTACGTGACGTGGCCAAACAGCAGAAGGGTCCTGTGGCCTGGAGTCCTTGGTGATTTGGAACCTCCCAGGTACAGAGAGGCTGGGGTTCATCTTTGGGTTTTATCTGGTCGTGGGCTGCTCTGGTCAGGGGGTGAAACTCCAGTTTGTTCATCTGTGGGACATTCTGTTCCCCCAGCACACAGAGGATGGGAAGTGCTGCTCGCTGGAGAGGTTCACGTGGCCACAGCCAGCGGGGCACGTGCCGAGAGATGGCAGAAAACACCATCATTGTCTTATTGGTATCACCTGCCAGGGGCACGGGGAGCTGCTGGGGGAGGTCAGGGCATCGTGCTGAGCTCTGTACAAACAGAGAACACCCTGCTCCTGTGCAGTGAGGTTGGGGAAGGAAAGGGAGCAGATGGTGTGTTGCAGGTTAATGACAGGGCCAGGAAGAAAATCCAGGTCTCAGCACGTCTGATTTGGTCTCCGGCAGTGCAATACTCACCCTCTGTCTTTTTTTTTTTTCTTTCTTTCTTTTTTTTTTTGTTTTCCCATGGCTTTTTTTTTCATATTTTTGGAGGATAAATACTTACCACGGGCTTCAGCTCTCTGAAAGCAATGCTATTGCAGCAGAGCTGATTTATGCCAGTTGAAGATTCGGCCTATTCCTTTCCCTCCCCCTTCTTCCCTGAATCCTTCCCTCTTTCTTTTCCCTTTTGCACTTGTCTCTTTTATGCTGGTAACACCATTTGTCACCAGTATGAGCATTTGCCTGACACGTTACTCAGTGCTGCTTCTCCTGGTCTTCCCTTCAGCACTTTCCACCTTCAGGGGAGTAAGTGCCAGTTTCTTTCAAGCTCCGCTGCGGCGGGGGGATTGAGGATGCCGCCAGCAAATGATTGCTCCTGGTCTGCAGAAGTTCATGGATTGAGTTATAAAGGTTGAGCTGAAGGATTGAGGCTGATTTATACGAGCGAGGAAATGTTTTGACCCTCGCTGAGCAGCACAGTGTGTCGTGCTTGCAAAGGAGTGTTTCTGCTGGTTTTCGCTCTGCGCCGGAAAGAATTTGCTGTAAATTTGCTGCAGTAAAGTTTTGGGTGTGATGGGGGTTTTGGTCAGGAGGAGAAGCTGCTTGCAGTGCTGTGAACAAGTGTCCTTGCTCTCTGAAATGGGCTCCTGATCACCCACCTGAGCTTGCCAAGGACAGCATCCACCCTCAGGGGAGGTTTTAGTCCAGATCCATTAAAAGAGCCCCTCTATTCAAAGCAAAGTCTGCAGTTTGTGTCCTGCGGGTAAGCAAATTGATCCTGATTAACACCTTGCCTTAATTACTTTTTCAATACTCAAATCAGATCCTTATTGATGACTGAATAAAACAGAAGTACAGGGACACACTCCCACACAAAGCTTTTGAAAAATCCCGTTTCTTCAGTCTGCTCTGGTTCACCATGGGTTAGAGATGGATAGATTCCATTTTTGTAAGAAAAACATAATTTGAACATCTCTCCAGAATGGCAAAAAAAAAAAAGAAGAGAGGAAGAGATATCTTTCCAGGGGTTCTAATATTGAGGGATTATTGCTTTTTTTTCTGAGAAATGCAGAGTTTGGATGAATGTCTGGGGGGACAAGGTTTTGTGCCTCAGGTGGGAAGTCCCACACCTAGAGTGGGAACTGGATCTAAATGTGGGAGCTGCAGATCCTGTGAGCCTTGGTTTGTAGTATGTAGCCCTGTTCCTCTTGGTACCAGCTGTGAAGTTGTTCGTTGGCCACCTTGTTTCCCTTTTTCCTTCTCTCTCCCTCTATCCCCATCCATTCTTCTCCACCCCCTACATGCAGCAGGTTCTCCTGGAACTGCTCCCGGGGTCCAGTACCTCTGCTGGCACCAGGGAAAGGGAAGGACTCGGCGTAAGAGTTTATCAAAGCTCAACGTTTGCTCTGCAGGGTTATGGGCACACGTAACACACAGACTGAAACTTGACATCTGAGTGCCCTGGACTTTGGACTCAGCTCTTCCTCTGGCTTTGGAGCCTGCATCTGTCTCTGCTTTCACATGCTCACAGCCCTTTGGTAGCCCAGAAACCAGGGACCTCTGACTCTCTTGGCTCTGACAGTTAATGCCTTTGTTGTAACCATTAACCACTTAATCTGAGTGGACAGACAACTCACCCACCTCTCTAAGGTATTAAAGGCATCACTGATGTTTTCACAGTATTTATCTTTCCAAAGCAGCTACTACTTTCGTGAGCCAAAGACACACGCTGTTTTTCTGAAAAACACTATAAAATTGCCAAGTGTTTTTATTACTTTGATAGTCTAAAGAAAACAACATTAAGATTTGATTTAGTGTCATCAGAAACAGTAACTTTCAGTTTACAAGCACTGTCTGCACCTTTCGTGGGTTTGCTGGGGGTCTGAGGGCACTTGCCAAGAAGCATCCTGCTGGGCTGTAATTATTGTGTTACTGGTATTTCCAGATGGGTTTGCTCAGCACCCTGCTCGTCGATATAAATTAGTACATCTCGTTACTTCAAAAGTGTGGGTGCATTAATTTCAGCTTGGGATGAAAAATGCTTGTGCGCAGCATGGTACCCTTGTTAGATGAATGAAACCAGCAGAAAACAGGGCAACATCTTTGATGCAGAATCTCTGGGTGGTGTATATAGATCAGCCACAGCAAGTGGGAGACAGGGTTTGATTTGCTTTTACAAATGTATTTTGTGTGTTTTGATACCTCGGGACTGCCGTGGCGCTGACGGGCGTGTTGGGATGAAGCTCTCAAAGGAACACATGAGGGACCAGCCAGACCCCACCAGAGCCACCCAGCCCTCGGGAAGGGGACAGTGTGGGCTCAGTTTAGCTTTGACCAGCACATCCCCACTGGAGATGAACGTCCTGCTGGCTTTTTGGGGTGGGCCTTGTGCCTGGGGACGTGCTTGTTTCTTTAAAGGCTGGAGGTAAAAGAGAAGAAGGAAAGTCCAGCCTGGCTCTTCTCCCCTACAGCCAGCCAGCTTTTGCCACCAGTAGCACCTCGTCTGTGCAAAGCTGCGTTTCTCCCCCTTGCATCTTTGAGTCACTCTTAAGACCTTCTGACCTCAACAGTGTCCTAACCTCCAACTAATTTCCTTTCTGAATAATTTCAGGGCTGCCAGGACAGGTTGGTCCTCCAGGCCCGGTTGGACCAACTGGTCTTCCAGGACCACCAGGGCCAAAAGGAGAGAAGGGACAACCTGGTGAGAGGGGACCGGCAGGGCCACCAGGTAAGTCCTGGAGGAGGGCAGTGCTACTGAGACAGGAGATATTTCACTTTATACAAATTACATGTGACAACAGATCATGAAAAGCTGGACACACAACGATGTTGAGCATCTTCAGTTGGTACTGAATCCATTCCAGCGAGTCCCCTGGGCACTGAAATGAGCCAGCAGCTCTCAGAGCGGGCAACCACCTGCACGAGCAATGACAACCCCTGGGGTTTCCTGTGGAGCTGGAGAGAGCTTGTCCCAGAAAGCTGCAGAGCAGGATCACGTTTCCCCATCCTGCTCAGGAGCTGTAAGAAACAGTCTCTGATCTGTCAGCCTTTGGAGAAGAGCGTTTGTTCCCTGTTTAACCCTCTTGCTGTGTCCCTGTTTTAACTCCTTTTTTCTCCACCATTTGTGTCAAGCTGTCAGATGCCAGGATGTCAAACTAATGATGCTTTTGTATGTTAAGGGAAAAGGTTATGAGGCTATTCTTTCAGAGTACACTCCATTCCTGAGCTGGGAGACTTTCTTCATCCCCAAAATGTTCCTAAGCCTTTTGATGAAGGCGATACTACACAGTAGGTGCCAGACCTCAGGCTCTGTGCTTTCTATGTGTCTGAAAAGCTGTGCCTTGTAAATGTGAGCTCAGGAAAGATTTGAAACCTGGAGCGTGCCTTAAACGTGAGAGCAGACCTGAATGCTTTTTTGGCATTTTCTTCCAAGCTGTCAATGGCTAAAGTCTGGCCAAGGATGTGTCTGCCTTTTGATTTCTCAGTTTGCAAGGAGAGCCTTCCAGCCCCACAGGAAGCAGAATCCATGTGCTGCTGGACTGAACGGGTTTCCGTTGTTCTTTCTGTGCCTTCCTGGCAGAAGGTGACATCCAGGTGTACGTGGAGGGGAGGAGAAAGAGCAGCACTTGATTTCGTGTTGTGCTGCCTTTAGTTTCTTGCTCAGCCTCAAGGATGGGGGAGATTTTACTCTTTCAGGAATTAAGCTGCTCAGCACCTTTGAGCCACGTAGGGCTGTCTGCTTTGCAGGGGGAGATGCTAAAAGAAAATAATGGAAAGTTGTGAAGCTGTTCCTAGTTCCCCCTAAACCCCAAATTCCCACAATTACAGTTCAGGACAGAAATCCTTTGTCTTCTTACTGCCTTTTTACATGGTAGCATCAGCAGCACATCTTCAAATGCACTAACAGATTCTCTCCTGTCTCTGCACAGGGCTGTTGGGACCTCAAGGACCAAGAGGACTTCCAGGAGAAACTGGGATCCCAGGTCCTCCAGGTCCTCCAGGGCCACCAGCCACACCAAGCCTCCCTCTTACCTTCCAGCAAGGGGTTCTCTACTCACTCCAGCCCACAGCTGAAAAAGAAAGTAAGTTTTTCCTTCTCAGTTCTCATGCTTTTCCTGGTACATCTGCAGAGTGGGCAGGCACGGAGCAGCTCAGCTCTTCCTCCCACCTCAGCACCAGGCTCTGCCAGGGCCCTGCCTTCCCTGGGAGCAGCTGGACAAGCTGCCTCTGTTGTGTGAGCCTCTTGGAAGTTCCTCTTCAAGAAGAAGAACATAAGAGTTAAAAGCTGGAAGGGTTCACCTCTCCAAAATGAGGAACTAAGTCACTGCTCTTCTAAAACCAGTGAGAACAGGGTTTGGGGATTTGCGGTTGTTCCTGTGCCTGGTTTTCTGGGTTCCTCATAGCTTTGGGGAGGAAACTCGGTGTCCTTGAAGCTTCCATCATGAGTAGCTGCTGTGAAGGGGGTCTCTAGTGGATGACAGAGCTCGGGCAGCATCACAGGAGGGACAAGTGGGCAGAGGAATATAGTGGTGCGACCAGCCAGCTGCTGGTGCAGTGAAACTGCTGCTGAGAGACCTCTTGGTGCCGCTGTTGCAGTGTGTCAGGGCTCGGGGCTGCTCAGGAAGGAGTAAGTACCAAAGGTTTGCAACTCTGAAATTATATAACGTAACAAGGACAGCTGTTAAACGCGTCTCTTTTCCTGCCCCCGCAGATGCGTCTCCCACCTGCATTTCTTGTGCATCAACATTATCCCACATCCACATGAAACACAGAATTACAGACTCGAAAGTCCAGACCAAGACTGTGATTTATCCCTTCCCTGTAACTGGGGGGTCAGGGCTCTTTGAGCTTATGGTGATGTAAAAATATATGTATTTGATTTGTGCTGTGTGTGACAAGAATAGGCTTTCTAGGAAAGGCACATCATGTGCTTTTATCTGAGGGCTTTCAGGTTTGGGCTTCATTTTTCCGGTCCACTCTTGGGTAGGTGGTGTCTAATGATGATAAAGCAGAGCTCAGCTGTATCTCCACGTGGCTTGGAAACCCCTGCAACCCCAGCTCTGTTGGGTCTCCCATCTCCTCTTCCCCAGCTCTTCTGCTCACATCCAGCTTCAGAGCTCAGTTGTATTAGTTACAGTCAGGGATTAGTAAGTCTCCCTGTGTCTGACAGTTTTCTAAAGCTCCCCTTTCCCTTCCACCCACTCCGCTCTCCAGACTCCTTTTCCCAAAAGTGAACAGATGTATTTTTAATTTGGGAAGAATTTTAACAGCTCAATTTCATATTCAGTTACTTAGAGCGTACGGGCAGGATGAAATTAATTGTGGTTCAATATGAGGATTCTCACAAAATGTAGATTGAGCTGCTGCATTCGTGAGCCTTATAACAAGCAAGTTTTGCATTACAGTCCCCTCACAGCCCCCCAGCAAATGGAGACATTCAGCCTTTGGTTCCAAAGGATCCTTAGGGATGGGTTGGGTGCTGCTGCCCCCCCCCTCCCTCCAACCACCTTTTAAATTAAAGTTTTTCTTGCAAAGTAGTGGAGAAATTAAAAAGTGTATAAAGGCATTGATTACACGGCCTTCCCGGCTGATGTGTGAGAAGGATGAACTCTGTCTTGTGCTGAAATGGGAAGCAGATAAATGAGAGGAGAAATATCTGTATTAGCTCTGCCAATGCTGGGCAGCAACAGGCTCCCACGTGGACTTGAGGCCCCTGTGTAATGGGTGAGTGTTACATCCCTGGGACAGCCCTCAGCCTCTCCCCGTATCTGTGGTGGGTTCCGTGGTCTGGCAGAAGGAGTAGCCCAAAACTTTATGACAGCTTTTCTCATTTTAAAAATTTTTCTTAATACAAGTCTTACTGCAAGCATAAATTATCTACGTTGTCATGATAAATGGCAATATCAAGACCATTTTCTTACAAAACTTACCGTTTTGCTTATGTGACGGCTGACTTTGCCTACCACAGTCTGGTGGAAAGCTGATCCTCTACAACCAATAAAACAGCCTTGTAAATTCTGGGTAGATTTTTTTTAAAAAAATAATTTATTTATTTTGAATGGAGCACATCTGAAAACTATAAACACAAGATTCCAGCTGCTGACAGCAGAGGGAAGCATATTCCTGGTAATGGGCATGTGCACCCATGGAGATGTGAGAAAGCTGTATCAGATTATTAGTAGTAGTACAGCCTTTGGTTCCGCCTGAACATGGATAATGTTTGGCCTTTATTAATCGCAACAAGTTCCTGTTGGCAATGTTTATCAGCAGGCAGAAGCCAAAAATGGGGAGACAAATATTTTCTCACAGTTTCACTGTGCTGTGGTAAAGAAATTGGTCCCAGTTGTCTCCCTCCAGATCAGGTAGCAGAAAGAAATTAAGAGAGGATTACTTCATTTCCATCCTGTCTCGACAAATCAAGTCTATAACGGGGGAATTTATCCCTCAGAAACATTAGATGTAGGCCAGAAGCTGAACTGCCATACCCTGCCCTACCCCGCTGCCCAGGCTGCTGCTACGAGGATCCCTTGCTCTCTCTGCCCCTTAAAAATGAGAGGGTCAGGTGTGTGTCTAGAGTCAGCTCCATCCTCCTCCTCATACTACAGCTAAGACAGTTTTTAGGGAAAAGAGAAAAGAACACAACTTTCGCTCTTGAGGGCTGTGGTTTCTTACGTCTCAAAGATTTCAGTTTGCAAAGGGCACGAGATAGAACATTCACCTATTTTGCAGGGAGAGCAAAGGGAAACTGAGGCACAGGGGGTGTGCCCGTGTGCCCAGCTTGGCATTGGTGAAAGGAGCACAGAACAGAGAGTCACAAAGTGACATCCCAGGGCCTGCTGCCACACGTAGCCCTTCCCGAGGAAGGGAGAAGAGAGCAAAGGATGCGAAGGGGAAGGAGAAGAGGAAGGGAATGGCCTTTGAGTTAGAAAACTAATACCTATTGCTTGCAAAGCTGAGATGCCTGTGCCTCTGAGATGCCTTGCTGCTCGGGCCTCATTCAGGGCAGTTCTGTGCTGTTTCAGGTTTCCCCTTTGCAGGATGTTTGTGCTCTCCCAGAGAACGAAGGTGCTCCCACCTGCCCAGCTCAGACTGGTTGTGCTCTTCCTCTTGGCTTGGCTAGGAGCTGGAAAACAAAACCCTACCCTTGAGCCCAGCAGAGCTGGGGTCGGTGCAGGAGATGGCTGAGGAGGGAAGATTCCTGCTGCCATTTGTCACTGGAGCTATTTTGTGGCTGCTGTAACAGCCTCCAGCTGCAGTGAGCCCCAGAATGCCCCCATGTTTATAAGAAGGGAATTTATAAGGAGATCTGAGTTCTTCCTGCTGCTTTATGGGAATAGGGAGAGATTCCCTTAAAAAATGAGAGGGTTGTTTTTTAACACATTTCAATCCCGTTTCATTCAGAGTATGTTTCATTCAGAGCTCGTCCTGGAAGGGATCCTTGACCTGAGGGAGTTGTGCCTGGTCGGGCAGCCAGGAAGGAGCTGCTCTAGATTTCCTGCCTGTCCACACTCCTGCGCTGCAGAGGCCGAGTCAGGAGCTACTCAGCTCAAGGGCTGTTGAGCAGAGCTCTCTTCTGTGTCACAATTATGGAATCACCTTTCATAAATAACTTTGAGTCAAATGTCAGGATTTATGGGAGTAACTCTGTCATCATAATAACGTACCATTTAGCTGGAATGGTTTGTAACCCAAATCTGTATCCCTGGCTTACGTCCAGCAGTAATTAAATCCTGGTTGTTTGCAGCCCATCCTCTCCCCCTCTCAGTAGATGTGCATTTGATTTGTTGACCACTTGTTCTTTAAAAACAAAAGGCTCTTCAATTGTTAATGCCTTCACTGCTGCTCAATGCTCATTTCCCAATTTCATCTTACTCCCAAGCCGTGATGGATTTTGACATGGTCAAATAAAACTCAAATTAATTGGATTACACACTTCACTTGGGTACCTTTCCTTCGGAACATGAAAACAGTCTCCGTTGTTTTGTTTCAGGGCTGAGAAGAAGGAAAGATGGATGAGGTTAGAAACAACAGTCAAAGAAATACCTGTATGCATTCAGGCTGTAGGCATGAAATTTGGTTCTCAGAGGGATCTGGGTTAGGTCTTGTGCTGTTCTGCTGCCAGGAAGGCATTGCAGAGATATACTGTCATCCTTGGCAGTTGAAGAGATTTCACAGTTTTTCCTAGAAACTGCTTTCATACAGCCAGCGTGAAAGTCCCCTCTGTCATTGCCAACGCTCCAGAAGTTGAAAAGGCTTCCTAATGTGTCTGCTAACATTTCTGGAGATTTCGCCTGATGTCCTTTGGGCTGGATTCTAAAAAGTAAATAAACACCATTTGGATCTTCCTGGCATCACTTGATAGTTACATCCATGTGGCAGTGAGACACCTGCAGTCTTTTACACCTGCAAAGGGTTCTCCTAACTCTACTGTGAGGAGTTAAAGGGGTGAGTGAAAGGAAACATGAGTCAGTTTGAGGTCACGGGCAGGAGGAGATGGACATTATTCCCTCATGGTGGCCTCCAGCTATGGAAAATTGGACTTTTCAGAGGGTTTGCTGTCCCAGTGACCAGGACCCAACATCTTCATCCAGGTTAAATGCAACAGGAAGTATTTTTTGACAGAAAGGACAACTTTTTGGGGTTTATCAGAGGTGAGATGAGCAGGTCTGAGGGAGTGCAGCCTGTGCCTTTAGAGAGCAAAGGGCAATTGCTCCAAGAGCCCAAATTTTTCATCCTGAAGCACTGCCTGCCCTTGGCCAGCAACAGGCGCCAAGGGATTTTGGAGAGAAGTCCTGGCTGCTGGGACTGGGCAGCTCTTCTGCAGGGACACTAACTGCTCTGCTCTTTAACACAGATGGAGAACCCCAGCTGGCCTCCACCGTCATAGACACCATCATGGCTGGCCTGCCAGGACCACGGGGAGCCCCAGGCCCCATCGGGCCACCAGGTAATAAACTCAGTTGAGCTGCAAACCTGTAATGAGGGGGAGGATGAGCAAAGGAAATATCTGATGGAGACTGGAGTGGTCTGTGAGGAAAACAAGTGGTCCTCACTGGAAGGGCAATAGAGCAGTGGGTCCAGGAGTGGGAAAGGGGGCAAGAAATAACCAGGTTTCTTATCTGTTGATAGGGGCAGAGGGTTTTACCTTTGGCAGGACACATCTTGAGAAGGGAATAATTAAAGACTGTCTTTAAAAATGGGTTGTGCAGTGAAATCCTTTATGAAAGCAGAGTTGTTCTCACCACTGCTGCCATCCTGTCCTGTCGCTGTAGAGCTCCTCTGAGCAGGGTCTGGCCAGCTGCTCTGTGAGGTGAATGCAGACTTTCCAGACTTGGGAGCTGGTTTGAACTCTACTGGATTTTCACCAGTATAACTGCAATCAGAATCTGGGATGAAAATTCAGTGGCAAGTCTTTCTGTGCTGATGGGTGGCTTAAATGATAATATTCCTGCGAACATCAGCACTTCCCTGTATGATGCATTTTCAAGAGTGAACTCCCATGAGTTGCAGAAAAGGCTTTTCCTTTCATTATGAGGGCCTTTCATTTATTCTTCAATTCCTTTATTCTTTGACTTAAGCATCTGTATGGTGTGTTAATGGTTAGGCTGATTCAGCTGTACTTTGTGTATAATGTCCACATTGCTTCATGCCAAGGGTTGTGACAACTAAAGCAGAGAGGAGTATTGTGAAGTTCAGACTAAGCAAATATCCTGTCTCCCATTTGCAGGTATAATTTAACAACTACTGTTGAGATATAATTATATTTCTGAAAGGAATGAATCTGCGAAGTGACTCTGTGAAACAGGTTGACTGTTTAGACAGCGTTTAACGGGGCCTGGAAGCAGGCTCTTCTGTGGTTCAGACTTTAAAAGAATTTCTTGCCACTGGAGTGAGCCAAGAACAAAAGGGAGCTTTGCTTTGCTGCAGCCTCTCCTGCTGGCGGCGTCCAGACCCTGTCTCTTTCACGTTCATCATCCTCTTTCTGACAGAACACTGGAGACAGACCCTAGCAGGGTTGTGCACTTCCCTGGCCACCTACGGGATTCTCTTTGTTTCAGAAACAGCAGCTGAAGTAACTTGCTCTGATGTAACTCTTCCGTGTATCTAGTTAAAGTTTCCTCAAAAGTTGTCATTTTAAATAATGGAAATGCAACGTTACTGACAGCCTTTCTGCCTATTTTCACCATTTTTTTCCCTCCCAGAGCTCTAACGTCCTCCTCAGGGCACAGGGGTGTACTGTGTCAGGATGTGGGTGTGCAATGTTCCAGTGTGTGACAAAGTGCTCCTGCTCTAGTCCTGTGGTTGCTGAAGGGCTCTCACCCCTTGAGAGACCAAACACAACAGCTAAAGGAAGTGCCTGTGTTTGGAATTTAGGGTCCTTCCTTCTACGTCTCCTAAAAATTGTCTCAAATAATGATTCCCCCCAGGGCCACCAGGTGCATCAGGACCCAAAGGGCCCCCAGGACCTATTGGAGCCCCTGGATTACAAGTAAGGCGCTTCGGGGCGGCGTTGGGTGCACATCTTCTCCTTGCACAAAGCAGGAGAGTACTTGATAAGTCATAGATCTGATTTTTTTCTTTATTCTGCATGAAAATTTGTGATTTTAATACATTGTGTTGAGAGGTTGAAATGTTTGTGCTTTCCAGATTTTCCCTTAATCATAACAACGTATCTTGCTGTTGCTGTGTCAAAACGTGTCACTGTGGCCTGAGTTGATGCAAAGGATCTGACATGGGCTTTACTAATGCAGGGATAAAAACCCCTGCGTTTCCTGAGGAACACAAAAAGAACACAAATGCATCAATGGGAATTCACCAATTCACCAAAGTGACTTTGTTAAGCCTACTTTGTCATAAATAGCACTTTCTATTAAAGAAAAATATCACAAATTCCCATTAGTTTGATTATTTATCAATATAAAAATTGTGCTGGGGGGGAGATAATAATGGAGTGTGATAAACTCACTCAAAAGAATTTATGGTAGAAGAAAGGCTCACATGGATGGAAAAAGCTGGTTAAAGGGAAAGAAGTGAAGTGATGATGAGTAGTCAACTGCCAGATTACTCAAAATAGTGGCTGGCTGATACAAGAGGACTCCAGTTTTGGGGAAGAGTATTACTTAATGTGGAGGTAAACCAGTAAAATCCAATATTTCAAAGGAATCTAACATGACTGAAGAGATAAAAGAGACTGAAGAGCACAGAGAGAGGTTAAGTAGCTCAGCACAGGGATGCAGCTTCAAACCTGATAAGAAGTGGTTTGGAATGGGTAGAATTAGAGAAAGGAGATTTTTACTATGTATTTATTAATCACTTTGAAGAAGCAATGGACAGCAGGTTAGTGAAAGTGTGCCAGTGTAGCAGAATCATTTCAATTAGTGAATGCTCTGGAGGATGATGAGAAACTCCAGATAGATATGAACACAGTGGGAAATTTGGCAGCAAAATGACAGATGCAGTTTAACGCGATTAAATATAAGGTAATTCACAATTCCTAAATAGTTCTGTAGTAGAGCCTGGCTTTTTCATATGCAGCACACATTATAATCTCCTATTTTTACAACAGATTTGTGGAATCCCATGTTCTTGAGTGTCTCAATGTAATCAGGCACTTAAAGTCACTGTGTCTGACGTAGTGCCAAGTCTGGTTTGTGCCTACCTCGTTTGGCAGCGCTCGTTAACCTCCTAAACCAGTCCTGACTTTCTGAATCTTCTGTGGGTCCAGGGCAGAGGTGCTAAGCTGGAGGCCAGGTCACTGTTTGGTGGTGAGCTGGTGGGGCTGACTGCAGGCAAGGACCAACATGTTCAGGGTGAGCCTCCCAGTTGAAACTGGGAGAATTCTCCTCTTTTAGACCCGTAAAACACTTATGTCCTGTCCTGTTGGGCCACTTAACTAGACACTGAGTGTCCTTGCAGCTGTGCCTTGAAAGCCCATATCTCTGGACACTGAGAGGTGGGGGTTTCTGGGGGCTGCTGTGAAGCAGGTTGGCTCAAACCACCAGAGGTTCTGGAGCGAAGCATTAGGCTCATTTGTTGCGGTCTCCAAGGCGATGTGCAAGTCATTTGAGGTGGCAAAAAGCATCTTGCAAATGGTCGTGGGGAGCTGACATGCTGAATATAAACAAACAATATTGTTCTCTCCCTGTCTGGTTTATAGCCGTGGCTTCGCTGGGTGGCCAAGTTAAAGATTTGGATCGATTTCTGCAAAGCAGTTCAATTAGTGGAAATGTGGAGACTATGCCCTTCTTATCCGTTGGTGACTGTTTTATAGATTTATTCAACCCAGGGAGCAAAATTATTAGTAGAGATTGGGCTTAATTTGAAAATTGTTTATTAGGGTGAGTGAATAGCTTCAAAATAATTTCCACTGCACAATCCAATTAATTTTCAGGTATGTATGCTTACTCATGCCACCCACTGAGGCAATTATGAAGAGGGGGAATGTAGTGGGGATTTTTAAGCTAACCATACTATCTGTGTATTCATTTCTTCTTGGTAACTGAGAACAGGAACTGTCCTGTCATCCTGACCCCTTAAAAATGTCACACCAGTAACCTGCAGTGCATTAAAAGACCCAAATAGGGGGATATGCAGGAACTATAGGGCTCAGGATATCTGTGAACAGAGCTCCCGTTGTTGTTGCTTGAGGGTGAAAGAGAATCCAGCCCAATTGCTTAATGGGGATGTGAGGTTTTCAGGAGCTGAGGATCACTGGGAAATGTATTCACTACACCTACACAAAAGATGCACAGTAGAAATTAATTCCTTCTTGTTTTTCATCTCTTTCAGGGCTTACCAGGCTCTCCAGGACAACCCGGGCCAAAAGGCTCCAAAGGAGACCGAGGCGAGAGAGTAAGGTTTTACATACACAGGGAGATTCCCAGCAGCATCTGGGGTGATGCCTCAGAAATTATACACAGCAAAGGTCTTTCAAATTCTGTGGCACTACAGCCATAAACAATTGTAAATTCTAGGTCTTCTGCAAGAACCACGATGATGGTTTACTGTACAGACAAAGGGTTTAATTGCTTGCAAAGTCTGGTGTTCCCTAAAGAGATCTGGGTAGCAAATACACGGTATATAAAGGTTGTGGAGACCAACTTTCCTCTGCCAACAAAAGCTCTTTAGCGTGGAGTATTTTGAGTGGTCTGACTGAACTCTTCCTTCTGTGGCAATAAGGCAGTAAAAGCTCATCAGACTTTTCCTGAACCAAAGCCATTCCCCAGGTCAAATGATGTTCTGAATATATTTGGAATATTGAAATCATGTTCTTAATATGTTTATGTGCTATACCCCAGTCCTTGATGGGTTGTCAAGTGCTAATAACTAAGCATAGAAACAAAGGTTGTTTGGTTGTTATTTCCAAACTGGTCTAGTTTAGGAAATACCAGAGAAAAATGTAACAAGGATATAAACCTGTGAGATTCCCAGTCCAACATTCAAGCACCAGGAAGGGTTTTAAAGTGGCATTTGGGCCTTCAGCTGCTTCAATTCAGCTTGCTCTCCAAAAGGCCATGGTCTTTGAAACCTCCTCTGAGAGACACTAGGAGTGCAGTATCATTTGAGCCTGTAGTACGTGGTGGAGGATCATTCAGAGATTAGATCTGCAAAATGCAGGAGTGGGCACATGGACAATCACTAAAACCCTAGTGTGGAACAGAGTCAAAGAAAGGAAAAAAGATAAGGAGAAAGGAGGTCACCACCTATAAATGGGTGGCTGAGTGGCTGTAGGTGACCTGCTTCCCCCATATGACAGCATCTCCTCTTCTTCACTTCTGCTCGCTCATCCAATCCAAAAGACAGAGGGGTGTCTGAAAGAGCTAAGAAAGACAAATGCAAGTTGGTTAAACTCCAATTTGATAACTTCTCAATTTAATGGGAATATCCAGTAACAGAGTTAAACTATGTTCCTCTGTCCAGACCGTGTGCAAGGAGAGCTAGTCCAGGTGGCTCATTTCATTCTCTCCTGAGGCACTTCATGCCAAGGAGCAGGGCACGGCTGAGGATGGACCACACGGGCTTTTAAAACGCTCTGTTTGAGTATCTTTGCATATTGATTTGGGTGCTTGGTCCCTGTTCTTTCCTAAGAAATCACATGCAACTCCCTGAAAGCTTTTAAGTAACTGTTAGAATTCTTTTTAATAACAGTTTCCTTGTGCAGATCAGCTACTTTGGGCATGTATTGGCTTTATTGGTAGATTAGAGCCTGAGGTATTACTGGGACTGGAATTTAAGATTCTGATAGAGAGTAAAACCTTAACTGATGAGACAGGTTACCGAGTACAGCTCATGGCCATTAAATGTTAATTATCAGTTTAAAAAAAACAAATAACGCCTGGTATATGGCAAAGTGTCAAGTTTCCATCCAGGAAAGTGATAAGAGCTCTCCCTCAATGATTGATTTAACAATTTCATTTAGTTTGTGGTTGACCATATTGCTGCACCGTGTCCATTCAGTACAGACAAATCCTTTGGTTTTGTTCCCTTCTTGTTAGATATTCAGAGCTGTCACCCTCCTTCTGAGTTTGGGACAAACAAGATTTTCCAAATACCAGAATGTCTTGCTAAATAGAAAAAATAGTTTCTATTTCCCATCCTTTCTCTCTTAGTGTGGAAAGTGAAGCCAATTGCTTTTTCTGGCACATTTTCTGTAGGATGCTCTGTGTGCTTTTTGTCTGTTGCGAGTGTGGATTTGAATGCTGGTTTTGACAGCTACATGCTGCAATTTTGGGTTTGGTGGATACAAATTAGAGCTGGCTTTACACGGAGCGGAGGAGCTGTGCAGCTGCAAAGAAAAGCAGAGGAGGGTTTACAATATCTATTGAGATTCAAGAAAATGTTATTATACATTCTTCCTGCTTTAAATCTCCGAGAGAACAGCTGTAGGAGAGACCTGAAGCAATCTGAGCACATCCCCGGGACGGCACATCTATCCATGTGCCGCTCATCATCAGCCTCTGTTCATCTTCTTACACAGTGCCATGAGGGATACACCTCACCGTCCCCAGAGCCTTCGGAGGCACAGCCAGGGAGGGCCTGGGATACAGGCTATTCCTAACATCCAGCCCAAATATCCTTTGATCCCCTTTAAGCTGATAACATCCTTTCCTGTTCCCCCTGGACACAGAGAACAGCCTGTTTATGTATTTTGAGTGCGTTGTTATGTCTCCTCCCCATGATTTGCCACTTGCCTGTGCTTTCTCACAGGCCTTCCTCCCTCCAGTGCAGAATCCAGGTATTTCCCTGTGAAGATGCTCAGAGCACCTGACTCATTGGTCCTTCCTCCCAGCGCTCTTCACCTCGATACAGGCCTTTGCCTGGTGCTGGCCAGCTGCTCGCCGAGCTCTGCACAGCTTCTCCCCACTAACGTGTTTGTAGATGCCCAAGGCCTGGTGTTTCATACAAAGCTGCAGTTTGATGGACACAAAAACAAAGCGATGCTCCCTTCCTGGCAAACACTAAAAAAGCTGCCGCCAGCTAGGTGGATTTTTGGGGGGAAAAAGGATGGGTTTGTTTCTGTGGATGTCTAGTGGAGAAGAGCGAGGTTAAATCTGTGGCTGTTTCATCAATGGATTTCTAAAGATGCTTTTAAATTTTGCCTCCTCTTCCCAAGTGCCTGCTTCCTCATTAAGTAGTCCATAACTGTTCTCCTTGTCAGGGATTCTGCCCTGCCCCAGGGTGCTCCAGGGTGGGAAACCAATCCCGTGGAAGAAAACAGGGGAAAAAGAATGCTCAGTTTGATGGCATTTCTTTCTGCCCCAAACCAACACGTACCATTTCAAAATGTTTCTGTTTAAAAACAACAACAACAACAAAAAAGAACAAATAAAACCCCACTGAGAACAATGTGAAAATTAGCACAGCAGGAAAAAGAAACAAACCAACCAAAATATTGTAGGTGTGTTTTGATCAGTAGCTGTTGGGGTTAAGGCAGGGATGTGTGTGTGGCGCAGGAGGCAGATTAAATCAGTGCTCTGTGGGAGTCCTGGGCTCTGTTTGCTGTCTGGGCAGCATCAGCCCATCAGTTTTACTAGAGAGAAGAATGCAGTATCTTTGTAAGAAACAAATCTCCAGCCAAATTCCTTCCTGGTATAATGTAACCGACTGCTGTAAAGTTCAAAAAATTGCTAATCGTCTTACTGAGGGGGTACTGAGCTGAGCAGCTCTGTATCGAACCAAATTTCTCCAAAGTGTGATGGGATTTGGAGCTGATACTTGACAGAAAACCATGGCCCCCTTTTGCTGTCTCTAAGTGATAATGTCAAGGGAGAGGAATTTTTTTTTCATATTATCCCAACTGTAAGGTTTTTCATTAAGCCATCTTAATTCCACTAGTAAAAATTACACTATGTTCTTGTCAAATGGAAAAATATCTCCTAATGACACTTACTTTATTTCCAACAGGGGCAAGCAGGTCTGACTGGAGAGAGGGGCATTAAGGGACTTCCTGTAAGTGATGTACTTGCGGGTGTGTGCAGATGGGCTTGGTGCCACCCTGGCACCATAAATACCCCCTGGCTGGGCTGCAGCTGGTTCAACCAGCTCTCTCAGATGCGATGCTCAGGTCAACAGTTTCCAACTTAGATGCCTGTTCAATAGACAACGTATTCCTCCGCAAGGGAAGTGTAGTCTTCCTGCACGTTAAGCACGGTGCTGAAGTGTGGTGATCAGGAAGGCATCACACCTACAGAGGAGATGGGTTGTGCTTGCAGATCCCCTCTAGCCCAACCTTGGCAGACAGAAGCCCCCTCCCTGCCTCGCGAGGTTCCTGGCGTTACCAGAGCCCAGGCACTGTTAAACATCCCAAAGAACCTCAGCTGCTCTCAGCTCCCTCTCGCACCTTGCTCTGCCAAGCTGAGCTGGAAACCCTTTCGTGAGATACAGAGATGTCTCCAAATGCTTTCTTGGCAGTACCCAAACAGGAGCTGTCTCCACTGGCACATAGGACTAGGGTGCAGACAAACTGATGGAGATGAAGGTTGGCTGAAAGCAAGCTAGTAGAGCAAGTTGGGGTTTGGTGGTTTTTTTTTTGGCTGGCAGCATCCAGAGAGGTCTTAGGTCCTCTGGGAGGTTTCTCTAGTCTCTTAATTCTACCTCATCATTTTGTACTATTCATATAACCTTTTCTTCAGTCCCCCCTCCCATACTCACCCTTTGATTTGCAAAGTATCTCAGGGATGTCCAACAAGTTTGAGGGGCCCAGGCATTTGCACTCTGGTTTATTTACCAGTTTGTTAGCCTTGATTTATGTTTGGCTTGTGGTTTAATCCCTCCATGTCATCTGTTCTTTGGGAAATGCATGAACTTCCTGGTTAGGGGGGGAACATCAGCCCAATGTTCACATCACATAGGGATCTTTGTTCAAGAAAAGCTTAATGAGCATCTTCAGAGGCAGAAGGTGATGTGACTAATTAATGAAAGCAGAAGAGAGGATTTTATGTTCTAAATCAAAGATGAACACATGCATGTTTGGGGGAGGGGAGCAGTATTTTAATCTCGGTGTTTTAGCTTATCAAGTATTGCTTATCAAGAGCTTTGTGAGATGTAAATATAGTCTTGTTGTGGGCCCAGGCCATGGCAGCCAGCCCCTCCTGCAGCTTGGTCACTCCCAGCCAAGTTTATCAGTGTTAGGAATGGTGATGACCTCCCGGGAAGCTGGTGGGAGCCAGGACTTTGGCCCTTGGCGTGAAGTGCCAGAGACTCAGTTTGTTTCCTGCTGGTGAAACGCTTCTGCCTTTAATTTGCTCCTTTGGAGGGAAGGGATGTGGGTGATCCTGGACATGAACCTCACTCATATGAGAACAAATTTCTGTTTCTTGTCTTTTTTAGGGTGAACCAGGCAAGAAGGGTGAGGAAGGTGATAAAGGCGCTGATGTGAGCATGTATTTCTACTGGTTTTGCTTTCCTTTTTGTCTCTTTACTGTGTTTCAACCATATTCCCTTTGGCAGGCTGGTTTGTGGAGGGGAAGGGTTTTGTGCACAGTCAAAAATGCAGAGCAAGAGATTATGTCAACCTTGGGGTTCAACTTAATACGTGCTAGAAATCCTGGTCTTTGAGGTTTCCTTGGCCACATTGTCTCTGCCCTTCTCACCCTGCTCTCTCAGCACCTCAGTCTGCTGCAAGGTAGGGAATCACTCCCCCGCTGTCCCTCCCATACACTCAGGAACAGACTACCAGAAGAGCTCAACCTGCACGTGTAGAGAGAGCTGGACTTCTCACATCTCTGCCCTCCCATCCTAAAATACTTCCCAACATCTATCTGTCCCATCAAGCCCGTATCTAAGGCAACGGGGGCAACAAACTACAGCTTGAGTGTCCATGAAAGTATGTGGACAGTCTTCAGGCAGGATGTGGCCCAGGTAGGAGCTCTGGGAGAGGCAGGTGAAGCCCATCAGGATGGGCTTGCGTGCCACTGGTCCAGGTTATAAGGGAGCAAGAAGATGGTAGCCATCTCCCACCCATCCCAGCTTCCTGGTGTACCAACAAAGAGAGAGCCCAGGTATCTCCCTGATGTTCAGAGTAAATGTCAGACGAGAGCAAAACCTGTTCTCCAGGTAGCTCAGCATAGTGTCAGCGTAAGCTGCGTGTGACAAGGGTTTGACAGGAATATACACCCTGGGTTTGGCAGAAGCAGGAACCAAACTGAAAGGCTTGGCTTTAGGTCAGAGGCTCTGCAAACTTGGGGTATAGCTGAGGAGTTTTTCTTTAAAAAGGGATTTCTCCTGTGCTCCTACTTAACCCGTACAGCTTATCTCCCCTTTTACATCTTTCCTTTTTTGAACATTCACACTGTATTGTGGAGGCACCTTTATGAACCAGAAGCCTATTCTGCACCATATACTAATGTTAGTTTTCTTTTCCTTCTTGCAGGGGGAAGGTGTTCAACAACTCCGAGAGGCTCTGAAGATTTTAGCTGAGAGGGTATTAATTCTTGAGCACATGATAGGAATTCATGGTAAGCGTTGCTAAGGTGGTTTTTTTTCTAGACAACTGGGGTCCCTGTCACTGCTTGATGGTTAAACATCCTCCCAGTCTCCCAAACTCTGTCTAGTATCTATTAAAGCCAGGTTTTCAAAACTAGGCAACCAACATGATGTAAAGCATGCTCAGAACTGTTGAGGACCTAGAGCTTCCACCCACTGTACTGGTTATTCTGGCTTTACAGTAGCAGGTGAAATGACCCCCACAATAATTTTTATTCCAATTCAGAAAGCCAGGTCACGAGCAGCAGCTCAGGCCATGTGGCACAGATCATCTACCAGATTCCCAGGGAGCAGCTCGTTCAAGTCTTTAGGCCAGATCATTTAATCCTGTTAATAGTGTCCTCCAAGGGACTTTCACACCCCTGAGGCCCTTGCCTGTCTAGCACTGTATTTTACAGAGACAGCCCAAACAGTGCTATGTTACCCTGAAAACCAGTGATTCCTGAACATCTTGTGATTATAATTTACATAAAACCTATTTTCACAATCAGTTATAAAGGAAGCTTCACGTGTTCATTGTTCAGCTGGATTATAAGTTTTCTGCTGAGCTGTCTGTCATCACTGGTACGGTGTGTGGCATCATCCCCTAATGAGGGTTTTCTTCCCTTAACCAGAGCATGGGCTTGGGCAATTGTCACAGATCAGGCTTCTCCCTTTGGGGTGCTCGAGGATCAATTCTCTCACAGCCTCCAAAAGCTGCTGTGCCAGTTTCTCCCCTTTCAGAAACACGGTAGAAGCAAAATGTTGTTTGGATCCACTGTCAGCCTGTGAGCAACAAGCCTGTTCCTTGGCACTGACCGAGTCCCCCAGCACTTCTCTTACATTCTTCTTGACACATGGAACCTCGCTCCTGGCCTCGTGTGTAAATCAAGCTGCTCACACCTTCCTTCTGATTGATAGCCACTTTTATTATGAAGTGGCCTCTGAATATTGATTTAGCCTATGAAAATGCTAAATAGCTAAAACGTCCAGCAGTTCCTAAGCAACTGCCTTGAAGTGTATCTATCACTGTGCAGTGAGGCAACGTGCTTTGAGAGCCCATAAGCCCCTTCTGGAGCCAGCACAGTGCTCAAATGAAAATGCTACTGGGCACTTCAAAGCCAAAGCAGTGTCAGTGTGTGGGGCTTGGTTGTATGGCTGAAGAGGCTTGGGTGTCTGCCCTGCTCTCCAGCCTTCACTGCCCAGGTGTCCTGTAGAGGCCCAACATACTATTTCCAGAAGCAAGAGGCAGCAGCTTAAGCTTTTTGGGAAATCATGAATCATGAACCCATGATTTAACCACAGTCACCCTGACCTTACCTCTGCATTAATACTAGTGTTTTTCATGTTTTCATTGGATTTGATAGACCAAGGGCAGGAAAAGATGTTTTTATGCTTCTTTGCTTTGAGGCAGTGGAGGTACCAGGAAGATGCCCACTAGATTACCCAGGCAGCAATCCATGCCCAGTGGAGTGTTCTTCAGGGAAGAAGAAAAGGGGTGTTACAGGACCCAGGGCCTGGCCCTCCATTGTCATTTACCTTCATTTATGTTCGTATAAAGCAAAAAATCAGCTCTTTGGGAAGCTTGTATAGACACTGGGGCTTGGGCTGGGGGGATTCACACAACTTTGCCCCTGCAGAACTGCCTGGTTTACCTATCTTTTCCATGGTCTATTTGGCAATACAGCAGCAACAAGACATACACTGCTGTTATTTTGAAACAGTCGTTTCGGCAAAACATTTTTACAGACATAAATGTATTTTCTGTTATTGCTTGGGATGGAGACGAGTTATTTTTACCCATGTATACTTTTCTACCAGTGTAACTGCATCATCAAAATGGATGTTTTTTAATTGTACAGTGTAGTTAAGGCTATGTTTAAACACCTATATTGTATGACTTTAAATAGTTCCTTTTTAATCCAATAACTATAGATAATTACATTTTTACTCTGTGCTTTTGAGATAGTTGCATTCTTTAACTTAAGACATATTTTAAGCCCTACAAAAATACTGTTTAATAAGAGAACTTGGAAAGTAAGGCATTTTTAGCTTGTGCAGTTATGTTCATCCCTGTATGTGTATATGGTTAAAAAAAAACAACCAACAAAAAACCAAACAAACCAGAAAAAGACATAACAAAACTGGAGTTTCCTTGAGCACAGACCTCCCTGTACTGAAAGGCACCACAGAGGTTTAAAACACCCAGCACCAACTATCTGGTCGTGTTCCCACCGTAGGTGTTAAGGACTTGACCACAGGTTCCTGGGCAGCCCAGCTCAGCCCAGTTCAAAGACCCACGCAGAAATGCCAATCGCATGTTCTCATTTTCCAAAGAAACTTCCCAATCAGTGTGGTTTCCAAAACCGCAGCCACCCAAGCAACAAGGCAAAACACACCAGCAAACAAACCTCTTCTCTGCGATGGGAGGGCAGTTTGAGATTAGCAAACTGCAGGGAGCAGCCCAGCAGAGCACACGAGAGCCCAAATTGTTTGGCAGGGTTTACTTCCAGCGAATGCAGCACGAATCCTCCTGCAGCCAAACGCTCAACCAGAAATGCTGCCTCGTGGGATCAAACCAAGGCTGGGTCTCTGGCTTGGGAGGTTGGGCTCTTGGCAGGGAAACAAGCAAATGTCCATCTCTGAAGGTAAAAGGAAGAAGAAACTCAGGCATTAAAAGCGATGAGGCAGCATTGCGTTATCAGCAGCTGGTGCTGACTGCTGGGAAAATAGAAGAGTGGCCGTAGTTAAAAGTATATTTAGCTTCTTGGGCAGGACACTGTGGGAAGAGGAGTGTGTGTTAACAAGAAGCATGCTGGGAGAATGGACAGCTAATATTTATGCCCAGCTTTATTGCTAATTTGGCTGTAGCCTGGGGTGGATCAGTCTTTTCCTTCAATCTTTTCACTGCCTCAAAATGTCCCCCTTTACAAGGAGTGAAATGGTACTTAAACCCCCAGGAGCATCACTTCCCAGTGGCCACTTGGCCTCATCCTTCAATGAGAGGAATCTGTGAGCAGTGCTGAATAGCAGCTATGGCCCAAGCAAATTTATAATCAATAAAAGAGCAGCGCTTTATAAATGGAATTACAAATGGGACCAGGACCTGCTGGGCCATGTGCAGGTGAGTACCTACCCCAAAGAGTTTAGACAGAGCAGGGGGAAAAGACCTAATATTGGGAGTAGTGTGATGGCAGCAAACGTGGCTCCACAATTGCTTGCTGGATGGAGAGACACCAGGAGGGACCACACTTCTTCCAGAGGAGGTACCACTCAGAAGGGCCCATTTACTCTTTCCGTAGCCTCCCCTTTTAAATAGCGCTCTCCCGTGACTTTCTCTCCTTACAGACTCTTTGTCTTCCATTGAGCCAGGCTCTGGACAAGACGTGATCCCGGGCTCCCCTCTGCGAACCAGCATCAAGATCAAACGTGGAGGACCCCAGCAGCCACAGGCCTACCAGATCCTCTCTTCACTGCTGGATGACAGTGAAGCCAAAAGGAGAAGCAATCGGATGAAGTAGGAGCATCTGTGTGTTCTCTGTGCCTGTTCACCAGTTAAAGATACAGTATCCCAGTGCTTAATTGCAAGAGTGCAAATGAAGTGGGTAGGAGTTGCAGTGTTGGCAGCTGGGTTTCCTTACCTGGCCAATACTACGCCCTTAGTGCAGGGAATGTCTTATCCATAGCTCAGAGAGGGTCTTATGAACATTTTTCTTGATTTTGTTGCTTTGCCTTTGGAATACCAGGTGGCAGATATCCTCAGAAGCTGTCCACAGAAACAACACCTCCTCACTGTGTCTCCAGAGTTCAATCCTCCCCTTGTTTCCTCACTGCCCTTGCAAGTTACTCAGTTGAAGCACTGCTTAATGGGCTCAGACAACCAGTCCCGTCTACACCCAAAGCCAAGCCTTAGCCTTGTCCATTGGTACAGCTGGTGGCATCTGCTTTTAATTCATGTGGTGGTGTCATGCTTCCAAGTGAAGATATGGCTTCCATAGGCCATGATCTGCAAGGATTTCTTCTAAGGAAAGAACAAATTGGAAAATTCAAAGAATATTTAAAACTGTTGCTCTGAAAGTTCAGGTTACTCTTTGGACTTTAGCATCAAAATCTTGGCTTTTCATGTTGCTAACTGCATGGGAGTGGCATTATTTCTATTCATGGCTGACTAAGCAAGGGCTTTCCATACAAATGTTTGTGGCAACACTGACTTTCCATCTATCTTCAGTGAGATTAGAGATTTCTGTGAAAATATAGAGCAGTTTGTATGAGATATGATGGAATTGTGCGAGAATTTTCCCATACTGTGTTCAGCTTGTGCATACATCCAGAGATAACTACTTTAAGTAGTAGCAATAACTATTCACAGAAAAGGATATTTTGCAATACTTTCTTAATCCTACATCAATAAGGAAAAATGTTTTCACACTCTTTTGTTTTTATCTTGTGAGTAAATCCTTGCCATTTGAATGTGGAGACAGTGCAGTAGCAAACCACAGCCTAAGGAATTAGAGTCTTGTCAAGAGCTTATCTTGCACTGGGAGTTAAATACAAAGTCATTTTACTTTTTGCAATAACTTGTTATTTTGGGGGAAGTCCCAGCTCCGGGGTTAAGAAGTTGAACCTGCCCTTCAGTGACAAATGAATCACTACACCTGCTGTGCAAACCAAATCAGACAAGTTGATGTCATTCACGTAGACAGTGATTTGTGTTAGAAAGGCTGAGAGCAAAACAACAGAACCGAGGGGACTTTTTTTTCCCTTTTTTAGTTCCTCCTCCCCCTCCTGACAGTTTTCAAATTCAGCCCAGGACGAAAGGGAGCAAATTGAGTTTGTGTTTGTCATTTTATGGCATAAGTCAGGTAAATTGGTCACATTCTATCTGGTTCCTAGTGCAAGATACAGCTGGCTGAGAAAGGCAAACCTGTACCGCTGCAACACCTCAGTCAAAAGCTGTTGCCAAGACCAATAACTGTGTGGTCCCTGTATTCAGCAACCCTTGTCACCCAAGGTGCTCTTCTGAAGGCATGTGGTACCCTGGAAACTAGGCTTAAAATGAAGGAGCTCTGCCAGCACATTGGCCACACGTTAAATTAACTTTCCATGTACCTAGTAAACATTGTAAACCTACAGAGCCATCAGGTCTTTCCTCTGAAGAGCGTTCTGTTTTCAGAAATGAACAGGTTATTGGCTGCTTCAGGATGACTGAATTCACTATGTTTTTATTTGGCCACGGTCTTTAGAAATCCAACCATCCCTCTCCAAACAGGTGAGCTGGTGTGAGTTGATGCTGAGCAAGCACCAGAAACTTGTCCTCCTACAGCAGCTTTGTACTGCTCTTCAGTACATGATGAACAGCCTTGGTGTAACTGGCTGGGAGGCTGCAGGAAATGCAGTTACTTGCCCTGCTTTTGAATCCTCGAGCTGCTTGGCTAATGCCAGTGGCAGAGCTCGTTCAGGAGTCAGCCCCCGCAGCTCAGGTTGTGCTTCCATGTGCCCAAGTTTTCCTTTGGACGTTTCAAAGAAACAAGCCTGAAGCGTTGCAGAAGTTTGGGGAGTGGAAGGGAAGGTACAACCAGGTGCTCTCTTGCCATAAGACTCCAATGGTTGAAGAGAAGGCAGAGTGTTGCCAAGAGCTGATGCTTCAGGCTCCAGCGTCCCTTTGCCTTCCTGTACTCTGAGTTACAGCTGGAGCCTGAGAGTCAGAAAACAAGTAAAACTGCCCAAGTCAATAAGGTTAGTGACCTCAAGCACTCGTTCTGTATTCGTAATCCTTTTGGGAGAATGAAACAAAGTCTCCTGAACGCATCCTAGTTTCAAACCCAGCACTAACTCTTAATCCAGCGCTAACTCTAATGACAGGATGTATATAAAGCATGCTGAATTAATCAGTGTCTGGCAACCAGCTCTCAGCCTAAAACCAGCCACAAATACAAACAGCTCAGCTTTTCAACATCTAGTGACTGACCAAAGTGCTGTACAGCGGCCCACGCCCCCCTGTTCTATATATTCTTGGAATAATCTTTCCATTTAAGAATTAAATGCACCAAAAAAAAAGATGTTTTCCCCTTTACAGGCTGGTTACTATGTAGGAATTGAGAAGTACTTGATTACCTCTTTGGAATAGGGACTGTCTGGGATCACATGGACAAGACAAGACATAGCCAGTGGCTTCCAGGAGACAATCCCATGTGCCCACCAGTGGGTGTTGGAAAATCAGGCCTGAAGACTGAGGAGAAATCACAGTTCAGTCTAAACCTGTGCGCTGGGCAGGCTGGTGCTGGCTGGAGTCACTTGTCACATTAACAAAGCTTCCTCATGGCAGTTTCAGGAACTCAACTAAACAAAGCAATCTTTAAAAAGGGAAATGTCAAAATTTGGTTTCACTGGTCCTGTAGCTACGGGGTTGAATTTGGAGAAGAGGGAGTACAGTAGGGCTGTTTTCACTTCCCTGCCGTTCTGGAGCCTTCACACTGAATTAAAAGACAAATTTTTCTTCCTCCAAGTTTGTCTTCCTGAGTTCAAAGCTATTGCATTAGCCTGATGAGTAGTCTCTTCAAGTCATTCGTATTGACTAAGATTTTTGGATTTTAAATTATTTAAAACAAATTACTGGCAAGATGAAAGGAAATTTAATGGATGTTGTTTGCAATGAATCCTGCCAAGTCAATTGTCAAAAGACTGGTTAGGTTTGGGTTGCAACCGTTTTAATTATTGACTTTTCCAGACTTCTGTATGAGCTATGTAATTTATTTCTCCCCACACTTCTTGCTTTATTTAGCTACATCTCTCTCGTATGCGGTACTGTATCTTTAATTTGGGTGACAGTAGGATTATACCAAATGGACTTTCTCTCTCAGCTGGGGGTTTCATTCCTCTCTACTTACACCAGGGTTGGACCACACTGTTGTGCAGTCCCAGTTTAATTATGTTTTAAAGGTGAACGCAGCCTCACAGGCTGCCACTAGAGATATTCATGACTAAGCAAACCGCTCCAACCACATTTTCCATCTTAGGCAGGACACTAAGATTCATTTTAGCCAGGGCATATAACGCATCTTGCCTTGTCTCCATAACTTAGAGAGGGGATTTATTTTGAATGCGTGCTCATTTAGAAATATATTTTAATTGAAATGTTTAGTGCTTTATCTTACATGCATACTGTGCAATACCGTAGTGTGTTCTTTTCCTTTTTTTTCCTAAGACTTTTTTTTTTTTTAATTCTTAATGTTTCTTTGAGCTCCAATGTGGTTTTGACTTGGATCAGTTCTGGTAGTGGTAACGCATTTTCCTTGCCTTGAGCTGACCAGAAGCAGCAGCAGCAGCAGCAGCACATTGCACAACTGAAAATCTTTGCAATTCGTGCACCCTCACGTTCACCAGCAACCTGGTGCTCCTGGGAGGTGGAGAACGTTTCTCTCCAGAGCATCGAATTTGCACTTACTGTAAAGAATTGGTAGCAACCCAGGGAAACGGGAATAAACTAGAGAGAAATTCACCTCACCTGCTCCCACCAAACTCCACAGTAATTTTGCTGTCAATTTTCACAGGAACAGGCCATAGAAATCAGCTCCAGCTCTTCAGCTGGCACGGACTGGTGCTGCTTTCAGGGGAGCAGAGCACAGGGTTCAGAGCAGCTTTCAGAGAGTTTGGTTCTGGGACTGGGGCTCAGTCCCAGTCTCTGGAATGAACTATTTTAATGTAGGAACCTGACCACTGTGACAAAAGCTTCTAAAAGACAATCAGCTTCTGGAATTACTGCTCGATAAAGTTTATTGGAAACCCATCCTCCTACACGTTTACAGCCTCTGTCTTAATGGAGATCACATTCTGTTCAGGTGTAGGGCTTTAAACTACTCATATTTCTGTGATTCCATTGAAACCAAGCAATTCAAAGGTGCTATAATTGCCCACAAAACACATTCCCATCCATAGAAGGAAATGGTAACTTTTTCACTAGTTATTTTACACAGTATTTTTTTTTTTATTTATATCAGTGTGTTTCGTATGTGTGCAAATGGTCCCCGCTTCTCTCATTGTAATAAGCTTTACAACCATTTGGTCTTTATAGGGCAGCCATACGCAGTATCATGTAATTGCTTAACTTAGAGCAAGAAGAGATCTCATCTGACATGATGAACTCATTATGGCAGGCTCTAATGTTTGTTGTAAACACAACCTGTTTGTTCCACCTCTTGCATGGTTACTTATCTGTTTTCATATTGCTATGTTATTGTTCAAAATATCTATTTCTCTTTATTTGCTATGGGTTTTGTTACTGTATATGGAATGTTTTGTATTCAGCATTTTCTTACAGAGCAGAGTGGGAACAGTATTCAAGAACCCACAAATACCAAAGACCTTTCATGTAATGCACTGAGAAATAAACATACTGTAAATGAATAAGTTGTTAGGTGTCCTGTATTTACAAAGTTCAGAGCAAGTTCAAGCAATTCTGCAGCGCTTAAGAGTGTGTATTTAGAGCACAAGTGTTATGAGTGGTGGAGTCACCATCCTGGGAGGTATTTAAAAGACGAGTAGACGTGGTGCTGAGGGACATGGTTCAGTGGTAACTTGGCAGTGCTGGGTTAACGGCTGGACTCAAAGGTCTCTTCCAACCAAAATGATTCTGTGATTCTAAATTAAAATCTGTTGCTTGTAACTTGCCTCACCTCCTAAGTTTCCTTACAGCTCAGGGAAGTAGAGTTGGCCAATCAACAGCTGCCTGGGCCCCCTCCCCGAGATCCCCTGGTACCTCCTGGGCATCTTCCTCCTCCAGAAGTGGCTGCATTTGCCCACTTGTGCTTTCTCTGAATTTGCCTCTGGGCTTATGTAGAACCCCTGACTTGTCACCTCATGTGACAAATCAAACAGTTAGCAGAGGATGTGGTTAGGGACTTTTTTTTTTTTAAACCTTCCTACTATGGGAACAACTACCTATTTATATGCTACCAACTACCTATCTGTTTGCAAAGGGAGGCTTTGCTCTGTGTAAGCTGTAGGAGAGAACCTGGGCTGTTTCTGTCAGAGATGTGCCAGTTCTGGTTTCTGAACTTGTTTTTTTTATATGCTAACGAAAACAAGAGATATGTAAATCACAGCCAATTTTTTTTCCCCCTACTGATCAGATTGCACTGCAGATATGCAGATACCAATATTGTAGCACAGTCTAAGTCTTGTAAACACTGGGAAACGTCCACAGTGTCAAGGCCTCTGCTTCATACAGCTTTTTGCATCACTGATGAGGACATATTGAAGGTTACTTGATGCCAAACATTCCCACACAGCACTTCTCTGGGTCTCTCAGGGTGTATTTATCTTGGTTTTTGTGTCCTAACACCTCCAACTCTGATATATTTATCCTTGCAAAAAGTCCTCTGAGGGAAGGCAGTTCTGTTAATCACTACTGTACAGATTGGGAGTTGGTGGATAAAAGGCTAAATTAATTTCTCGGGACGTTTGTGGCTGCGCTGCCCTGCCAAGCACCAAATTAGCATCAGGCCCGTGTTGGTCTCTGGGCCATTATGGCCACTGATTGTAATCACAGCAAGGGGAAACAGTGCTTTTCCTAATGCTTAACACAGCACAAGAAAAATCAATGGTGGAGTTGAACAGATTGAACTTCTAGCAGGAGTTGATTAAAAGAAAATATATATATATTCACTCAAACGAAACACAGTTACTCATTGAATATACTCTGTTAACTCTTCATTAGCCACAGGCTCAGCAAAGTACCAAGTTGTTACACAGCTTTCTTTTTAAAAGAGAGAGAAACATTAACTCTCTAGTAAGAATGTCTCCAACAATATTGCTGTCCACATTTCAGCCTGTTGTACACAACCAGGGCAGGGCTACCAGGGGTGTCCCCACCCTGGCACAGCCTGAAGCAGCAGCTGTACCCCTTGGGCACAGACCAGACACTGGGCACGGGGAAACAGCAATCCTGGTATGGGAACAAACTACTCCTCAGCTTCCCGAGCACCACGATGGCCAGAAAGGCAGCTACAATACGTATTATAAAGAAAAAATAAGCAGGGAAATTACATTACCCTATTTATCATTGCTACCTCTTTTAGGATAGTGTGTCTACAGTTCACAAAAAACAGTGACAAGCTGGTTTGCAAATGGATTGGAAAATATTTGACTACTCCAGACTTCAGGAAATAATTTGCCTGGCTTCAAAGAGTGACTGGTAGCTGATCAGGCCAACATAAGTTACCTCTCAGACTCTTTATGAGAGAGGCAGAGAGAGAAACAGCCATGCCAGAGCGCCCCCACCTCTTATGACAGGATTAAGCACCCTTAGCCAAAGCCAATCCCTACTTTTTTTTTAACATATATTTTTTTTAACCTTCACTTGACAAACTGGATAGCACACAGCCTTTGCAGCCTTGCAAGGAAAAAGTATATTAGCCACTAGTTGGCAAATGAAAAACAAGAGCGCACTGTTTTAAAGGTGATGATAATTAACCATTATAACAAGATACCAAAGGATATGTTAAGAGCTTTTACTACTAGACATTTTTCAAGATGAGAGATTTTAAGAGAGGATTTGCTCTTCCTAGATACATCTGTTTGCATGTATATATTCCCACTCCAAGAAGGATTCATTCAGCAGAGCCACACCAGACAATGGAACTGGCAGAGCCAGTGATGGTGAAGCTGCAGCTGCCCATTCCTGACTCCCGTTATCATTCCCAGCACAGCTCAGCACTGGCCAGATCTGCCCCTACACACCAGGACACAAGTTCACTAGTGATGGAAACAGGAGCCACGTAGCTTCACACTGGAGGATGGTTGCCCTAAGCATGTCTCCAGGACACACCATCTTTGTGCAGCACCCACAGAGGTCTGGGCTACAACGACCAACAACCTGGCCTGTGGGAAAGGGCTGTCCAGGATGGAAAACTTCTGGCACCAAAATTTTGGACTGAGCCAGGCCACACACCAAGGCAAGCTGGGGGTGCCCCGCTGACCATGGGCTACTGTGGTAGAAGGGAAAGGCTGAGTCAGAGAGCCCAGCACTGGCCTGGACACAGCACTGGTATGTCTGTGGTAGCATTTGTGTGACTGTGCCAATCTAAACCTGATTTATAGATAACTGGATGGAGTTAATGTTCAGCCAGTAACTTCATATGACAGTTAAACTTTAGACTTAGTTCAGAAAACATATTGGCAGAGAGATTAACCGTGCATGATAGGATCTTGGCAGCAACCTTCTCTCTACTCCTCAACCACAAAAACAACTTCAGAAATGGATCGAGCCCGGGTCTACCTGGTGACAGGAGGATGTGGTTTTATAGGGGAGAAGATCGTAGAGCTCCTGTCTCAAGAAGACTACATCAAAGAAGTCAGAGCTTTTGATTCAGTAGTAAGAGAAGAAGTAGAAAAATTCACCACAGGTAAGAAAAGGGCATCAGCTTCTACTTAGCGGCCATAACCCTCCCTTTCAAGACAGCTGGTATTATGTTGGAGTTACAGGCATAGGGTAGGAACCTGGATTAAATGAAGAATAACTTCCAGCTCAGAGAGATTTTTCAGCATAGGACTAAATCAAAGCAAAAAGATCCATAGTGTGTAACCCCAAGAGATCTGTCCCAGGGAGGATGTAAGCCCCCACTCAGGGATCAGGTGTAAGGAGCAACACGCACACCGAGTACCTGGCACGGGAAGTTGGTTCACCCGGTTGTCTCTGCTCAACCAGTCCGACTAACAGCAAAGGGACAAAAAAACATGCTCCTGAACTGCTCCAACCAGTTACTAATTCTGAGAAAAATAACCAAAAAACCCTGGCAATAATAGAATCAAGCTCAGCATCTGCTGCAGATATTGTGAAATGAATTACAGAAATAATTGAGAGAAACCCGTAGCAGCCTTACTGTGCTGTGCATAAAAAAGGAAGAGGTGAGTCTCAGCAAACACACTCAAAGATATGAAATTAATCCATTTGATCATATTCTGAGAGCTGCTTTCTGCTACTTCACAGGGGTCTGAGGTATGTTGGGGAAAAGCAACCTGTTTGACTGGAGTTGAGAATACCCACCCCAAACAAGCCAACGTAGCTCAAGGTGCTCTGCATGGCTAATGGTGGGCTGGGACTCCCTCTCTGCCACTGCCCAAACCTTCAACTGCTTCAAATGGGAGAGGAAAAAATGATAAAGAAGATCCTATCTGTTAGGAGATATCAATAGAAAGGAGATATATTTAAAGCAAGTTAGAAGACTCCCAGAGAAATATCACAATCAGAAATCCTCCCTCGGCAGATGAACTCACCAGACTGGTTTCCCCAGGCTTCAGGGAGCTGATTGCCTTAAAAGCACCCATAATTGAAAAAAACAAACCCAAACCTGTTTAAACCTTAAAGAGCTGCCATAATCTGTGCTCCAGGAGAGATCCGTGGCCTAACACCATAGCAAATGACAGAAACATGAGACAGAAGCAGCCTTGAGGGGCCATGCCAACCCCCTGCTGCTTTCTCCCCAAGGCAGAATCAGCTCCCCGTGACCATTCTGAGAGATGTTTTCCTCTCCTGTCCCCAGGCCACCTCGGGGAACCAATTTCTGCACCATCAGGCCATTACTGTTGGTACAGTGGCATCTGCAATTCAAGTCTCTGATTTCTCATTTTACCTTGCAGATAGAACAGATTAATACTGTCACTTTTTCCAACAATTGTCATGATTTAAAAACCATCACCCCTTTCTACTTCATGCTGGTTTCTCCTTTAGGCTACAACAGGTCTCATGTGCTCCTCTCTGCTGCTCAGCTCACGCTTTCTGTCTCTCTGGGCACTGGCATTGCTCTCTTCTGGAAAAGCAGCACCAGGGTTAGGAGAGAGTAAAGCTGATGGATTTGTTTCTTCTGTCCTGCAACCTATTCTCCTGTTTGTAGTTGCCAGTACCATTATGCCTTTTGCACAGCTGCAAGGCCCTGTGGACGGGGAATAGCTCCTGAGCTGCCCTGGCTGGGTTTAACTCTCTCATGAAGACCCGCTGCCTCTTCCCTCCTGAGCCAAACAACTTCACTTTGTCCCTATCAAACTTCACCTTTTTGTTTTCCAGGCTCTGTTAGTTAGGTTCAGCTTGTACTCTAATCCTCCAGCATACTTCGAGTCCCTCCCAGTCTGATGTTATCTGCTGATTTAATGAACAAATCTGCCAGATTCTTGATGAAAACAATAAAAAAAAAAAAAAGATTGAAATCCAGCAATAAGCCCTGGAGAGCCCCAGGGCAGCCACCTACCACAGCTGGCAATTCCCTGGGAACTGTAATGCAGCCAGCTTTGTGCTCACCCTAATGTGGCTTACTTAGCCCATGTTTTACCAATTCGCTTATGAGAATGACACAGAGTTTCCAAAGCCCTTCTAAAATCAAGATAGATGACATCGACCTGTTCTACAGTATCTGTACAGCCTGTTAACTTGTCATAAGAACAAAGGAGATTTATCTGACTTGATTTGTTCTTGACAAATCCATGTCAGCTGCTTCTATTCTCCGTATTATCCCACAGGTGCTCACACACATGTTGAAGTGTGTGTTCCTGAATTTCCTGGGGTTGAAATCAAGCTGTTTTGTAATTTCCTGGCTCCTCTTTACCTCCTTTCTAAGCACAGGTGTTTCATTTGCTCTACTGCACTCTTCCAGTGCCTCCTCCAAAAGTTCTCCAAAGCAGCTGATATGGCAGTGAGGCTGCAGTGACATCTATCACCTCTTTAGTAGCCCTGGATAAAGCTCATCAGGCGTTATCAATTTGAAAATTTCTCCTACTTGCCTTGTATCCTCACTGGTTTTGGCTGAGCCCTCAACATCCTCTTGCTGATCTTAATTGCACCAGCTGCCTTAAGACAGGTGATGCAACAGAGGCTATTTAACACTTCAGCTGGGTGTTTATGGGCTTTCCCTCACCACTAAGCAACAGCAAAATCCCCCCCATGTGGTTGCTGACACCCTGCTCCACCTTCCAGCACTGGGAGAGACCTTCAGTAGGAGCATCCTCCTCCAGGCAAGTGTATTACCTCTACTCTGTAGGCGATGCCTTCTTTCTTTTCCTACTCTATTCTTGCTGAATCAACTCTTATGTTTTAACATTAAATCAATTTAATATTAGAACTCCTATAAGCTAGTCCACCAAATCTTGGTTATGCTAATTAAGAAATCAGCTTGACCCTTTGGTAAAACTTCTGTCTCTTCTCATGTGCCATGCTTCTTAGCACTTGTTCAGCCAGCTGACCTGCTGTCTTCAATTGTGTCTCTCCTTTGAGTTCACGAGGAAAACCCCTGATCTTTCACCCCTTTGTCCTGGTAGTGGTTCACTGCAGGTTTCCATACCATAACACTTCCACAGCTGGAGTCACAGACTCTTCCCTGAACTGCTCATGTGCATGATCCTCCAGAAGTCACTACCCTGATCCCTGGCTACATGGGGCTCTCCAAGAAGCCACCAGCCTAGGGCAGAAGAGAGCTCTCCTTCCCAAAGCCCCAAGTAGAGCTTCCTAACTCCAGCTTCTTGCTGGCATATTACCAGCTACAGAAAAGGGGGAAAAAAATCCCACTTAAATGTTACAACACTGTCTCAAAGCAAGAAAATTAGCAGTAGATGCCAACAGTAGCCATGTATGGAGCAGCTATTTTGAGGGAGAAGGGAAAAAGGAGATGGGGAAAGAAAAACACTTCTGAATAGGTCAAAGAAAGGAATTTCCTATGAAACTTTTGAATCTTTTACATTACTTTCCCATCCTATCTGTAGTATTTGCAATTTAAATAAAGCTCTGTGCAATGTCCCTTGAACTCCCAGTAAGCTCTAAAAATCTTTCATCTTAAGGAAATTGCCTGGCACAGTTTCACTCATTCACACATACTAGAGCAAGTCCTGTAACCAGCTGCAGCTCTGGGCCAACAGTCTCCTGCTCAGCACCATCCTTGGGTACATACTAGAGATTTGCCATGACAGTCACGGCTCTTCTGGCCCACAGTTGGTGCAAACTGGCAAAATGCTGTGCTGAATTAAACCAGATGCAGATCTGGCTTCTTGGGATTGAAAAATCGGGATGTATTTTCCCCTGGTGTGATGTATTCAAATGGCACAGTTGCCAGAGTGTGCTTCAGCTTGCCCTGCAGAGAAGAAAGCTTTCTGAGCAGGATCCTCACTCTGCAAGGAGGTGAGGATGCTGATTTCTACCTTTCACCCCCCGCTGCATCTATGGTTATATTCTTTTTCTCCAGCTACCACTCACGTGACAGTGATGAAAGGAGACATTCGAGACTACAATCTGCTCCTTGCTGCCATGCAGGGAGTTCACGTGGTTATTCACACAGCTGCTGTTCTGGAGTACAGAAACACCGTGCCCTTCTCGGAAATGAGAGCTGTCAACGTTGGGGGTAAGCTCTTCAAAGCAAGCAATTAAATACAGCCTGAAATTCACACGCCTTGGTGTAGTCACATGAGAGGCTGCAACAAACATACCCTCTCTTATTTAGAGCTCCCTTGTCCCCTGAATTTCACACCCACCAGTCTGCTATGGGATGAGAAAGGTGCCCAGGACCTTTCCAGTCCAGCAGGGAAGCTTCTCCCTTTGCCCCTCTGTCGTTGCTCAGGGCAGGCCATGCTGCTCCTCTCTGCTGCTAAAGCTTCATCCTAGGAAGTCAAATCTGGACCCGGTTGTTATATAGTTATTCTGGCCAAGGGTGTAACTTTCATGAATAGCACTGAGGTGATTCAGAACATGCCTATAGTGGTAAGAAACTGTTTAGTATGTGACAAGGACAGTAATTAAAACGCCTGTTCTAGATAGATTTCCCAGGGAGGAAAATCTATGCTCTATACCAGTGCAAGACTAGACCAGTCCAACTGCATCCACACTATTTAAGGGGGTGTTATATTAATTATAGTCAGAGTTCACAACTATTACATGTCTACAAGTCAGACATAGCTGAGAGCTCCACAACGCTTTCTTCCTATCACCAAGAGCCGATTTCATGTTAGGTGCAAGATCTGCTTAAAAAAATTTGTTCATAAATCTAGGAAATAAGCACAGGCTATAAAAATAATGAAATCCCTATTACAGCAGCAATTCCAATGGCACCTCAGGCTGTTAGCTACTAAAATAGTTGTTAACCACAAGGAAGGAATTTTATATATTTTTTTATATATATATATCTCAAACTCGATTACTGCTTAGGGCTTCTACTATTTGCCAATGCATTCAAGGGCAACATTTAAATTCCATCCTTCTTTTCATTGCTGTAGTTGTTTTCAAAACCAGATGCTTTTAAGAGCCTGTGTGCATGTGTACTGAGAATATTCAGAGCCTGAGGGTTCCTGCTGCCTTTTAATGGCTTTGTGAGATCTTTCCCTTCATTGTCTGTTTGCTATGAGCAAGGTACTCCAGCGTGGTGAGGTTTGTACAGATAGCAGTCAACATTGGGCAACTCCCCTGTTCAGCAAACCAAACCTCTTGAAGATGTTTGTGACATTCCCAGAAAACCACACACACACAGTTTTTCCCATGTGACTGGTGACTGAGTGCCTCTTGGAGGAGCATGGTTTGAGATGTCTTAACAGGAGCCTTATTTCTGCCTCCCCTTGGATGGCTTCACGTAGACCTCCCTAAAATGAGGCTGCTGCCCTCACTAGGACTTCTCATATTCTTGAATTGGGAGATTAGTCAAAAGTTTTCTACCAAAATCATAGCAGGTAAAAGAATAAAAATGAACTGTATTTGATACCTGCTGTAGATTTCATGGGAAGAAAAAATAGGGTCAGGACAGGTCAACTATATAGTCCTCTAGCTGGCTCCTCTGTGTAACTCAGGCCACAGAAATTCATTCAATTACTGCCTTGAGCCCAACAATTTGTGGCTAAATTGGACTATGCCTTTTCAAAGGACTTTTTGCCTAGAATTAAGGACTGCAAGTTAATGGGCTATCTATCATGTCTTTCAGCAAGCCATAACAATGCTGAAGAGTATTAGTGTGGCTATGGTTAATTACCATTTCTGGCAAAAATTTACATCTATCTTCTGCTTTGATTTTCTCTGTTTCAACCACTGGCTGCTGAATCCTGTTACAGTCTTGCTGACTAGATTGAAGAGCCTCCTTCTACAAGAATTATTTTTTTCCATCAAGTCACTTAAAGACTTTTTAATCTGCTTTTTGTTAAGCTGAATGGATTTTAACTCAGCTCTTTCCAGCAATGTTTCTCAACAGGGGTTCTCAGTTAACTTTACATATTGTGATAGGCTCATGGAGAAGTAAATTATTTTCCACCAGGTCTTCATACTCATTCATGCCCTCCGAATTTATCATAAGCCCAGGATTTCCTTGATAATTTCAGATTATGCCCTTAACAACCAAGAGAACAAAGAAATTGCAAGCCCTCCCCATGCAAGATCTGGAGCAAGGCTCAAGGGCAGAGCCTGATTAGCCAGGTATAAATAGTACGGAGATTTCCGGAAACCAACCCCATGAGCAGCTTCCTTCAAGATCTGCCTTATCAGATTTGAAGGCCTTCAGTATCCAACCATAGTTATGCTGTTGTCATTGAGGTTCTCATAGAATCAACTTCAATTAAAATCACAATGAATGCAGAAACCACCCCTAGAAGAATCATAAATCATTTAAACCAACCTTTTCTCCCCAAAACCCAACCAAACAAAAACCACACATGCTGAACCACAAATTCAGCCAGAGCAACCTTTCTTAAACCAAACCATGCTTCAGATTCATCTGGATTTCATGTGGACTTGTAAACTGCCCCCACTATTTTATTTATAGTTCTGCAGCTATCAAGAATCTGTTGCAATGATTTTCACCCTACAGTCATCCTGCACAACTTCTGTAGAGCAATATATGCAACTAAAACACCAATCCTTTTGCCAGAAGGATTTACCAGACATTTGATGGCCTGCCCATGAGTCAAAAAAGATGGAAACCATGGAGTTTTGCTCTGCCGAGCTGTTGGCTTCCTTTTTGTTAGCAGCTATTAAATCCAAATTAAGTCAATCATCAATTACCATAGAGGTTAAGTCACAGTATAGTTATAGATGTAAGTGCTGCTCTCATGTTATAAACCATCCATTCCTGTGCAAACATACCTGAGGAACAGCAGCCTCAACCTGTGGCTTTACATCTTCTCAGCCATAAAAAAGATGGATCTGTTCCAAGTCAGAATCCCAAGCCTAGAAATCTCTTTTGATTTGCACAAGAATCATCAAGGCAAGGTGGTCAATGTTTGTCCTTCCCAACCTCACCCCCAGGTACTGAAAACGTGTTAAGAGCCTGCTGCGCCCTGAACATCCAGTACGTTGTCTACACAGGCTCCATCGCTGCGGTGGGACCCAATACCTCGTGTGAGCCCATGTTCAGGTAAGGCTAAGCAAATCTCCATTACTCTGGGTTTCCAGTTAAACGGCAATGAAACTGCAACCAGGTGGAGATTTTTGCTGTGACTACAAAGGAGAAGATGTGTGTTCCCCTTCTTGTTTATTCCTCACCTCTTTCTTGAAAACGCTTCTTTGCAGCTCTTCACTTTCAGGAACCACACCTCTTCCCAACCTAAACTTGACCAGTAATGGATTCCACTGACTGAAAGAGTCTGTTGAGATGTATGACCCAACTGCACCTTCAGGCTGTTCCCTGGATGTACTGCCCTGTTCCTCTAAGCCCTCAATCAGTTTCAGATGAGGTCGCAGGTGCTAAAGGCTCGTGATATGGTCAAGTTGTATCCTGCTGTTGGGTCAGAGCTTTTGCTCTCCCCTCAACTGAGGCAATCCAAAGGGCAGGTGATGCTCTTCTTTACCCACCCTCCTCTTTTTGGCTCCATAGTGAATTGCTAGCAAGCCTGTACCCAGCTCCTGTTATCAAATGTGGTCAAATGCATGAACACTACTTTAGCACTATTTCAGAGGAAAGTTAGTTGGCCACATAGTTTTAGGACCAGATGCATTTGGTGTGAAGTTGCCCTGCAGTATTCATATGTAGTTACACTCTCCTGTGACTTGGGTTTGACCTGTAAATTGCACCCTTCTAGCCCTCAAAATCCTTCTTCCTGGCAATATGCTTATGAGACCTAACTCCTGGACTTTTTCACTTCTGAGCATTATGCTCAAGCCATCTCTTCTGTATTTTGCAAGACTGACCCACAGACCTAGAAGAAGAAGCAGAGCTTTAGAAAACCTGCTGTGGCAAAGGTGGGATTTGGAGCAATAGAAAGACAGGTCAAAATTACGATTTGAAGTGGGGTTTTGCTTATAGACCTTTGATATCCAGAACTGACTTTCACAACCAGCTCACACTCCTGCTCATGACTCAGCACCTGGACACCTTTTGTATTCACGAGGCAACAGTACTTACACCTTGAGAACTGGGCTGATATTTCTGAAGAGCAGGAGCTCTTCAGAGTTCTAGGTTAAATCTGAAGTCAAGTAGAGATAGTTACAGTCTGATACATACCATTGTCAGGCTCCTTGCTGATTTCAAGAGTGGCTGTAGCCACACAGACTGCTCAAACCATGGAAACTTGTGGGCAAGGGGAACTGGCCCAAAGTCAAGTTTTTTCTCTATAGGCAGCCAGTCTAGACACAGCTGGCTTCAGTCATTTGGCTCTAGAAATTTGAGCCCAGCTAGAAAAAAACGCTTAAGACATAACTTTAAATGACCTGCAAGCCTAAATTTCATACTCACAAGTAAGCTACAGCATAACCCAATTGTTTTGAGAAGTGTTTAAGCATCCAAATCTGTAGAATAAACGTCTGGCTAATGAAAAAAAATCCATGAGAGCAACAAATTTCAATCCACTTGGGACCATGAGCAGTAGAGGGTCTGTGTCACTGAAAAGCTATGGAATTTGGTCATTAGCATATCTAAATTATTTCTAAAAATGAATGTAGATGCAGGCACATCCTTGGTAGTATTTTAGTTCTGTGACTTAAGAGATAGATGTGAATAGATATCTCGAAAATTCTACCCCAAATCTTGCCTGAGAGGACAGTCCTTTGGCTTGTAATGGTGGTACCAACAATTGCAAGCAAAAACCCATCTGGGCTGATGCTCACACAGTGCTACACAGGAACACCCTCTGCCCACCAACTCCCAATCCTTCCCCACCACAAATGCAAATAAAACCACCATTTAGAGCCTTTAACTCATTTTGCAGAACACACTCAGGTTCTCCCATGATGCTGGGAGAAAGCCTGAGAGAGTCGTCCTCATTCTCCAATGGTTTTGATTTTAAACTAAGGGAATTACAGAATACAAAATGAGAGAAGGGTCAGACCCGCAGTAAAAAATTACAGCACTTTTCCCAGAAGGGAGCCCAGTGAAGACTGGAAAGCAGGCACGGCTCCGTTTTCCAGACTGAAAGCACAGGTGATGTGTCTCTCCCCTTCCTCCTCTTTCCAGCTCCCCTGTCCCCACCCAATCTGTTCTGCTCTTCTCCCTCACAGTCCATGATGCTGTCTACCTTCCTTTTTCTCTGTCCCCCTTCTCCATCATTCCTTGTATAATTTTATTTAACTCACTTTTACGTGCTTGGGAATTGACACAGACAAAGCACGATTAGGCTCTGGACAGGGTGATGGGTGCAGGGATAATGCTCACACCTCAGCATCCGACAATAATAGAAAATGCCTCTGTCAGTCTCAATCCCTCCGAGACAGCAACCGCTGAGATACCTTCTGACAATGCTGCTCCAGTCTTATTAGCGTTCAGTTATCTGTGATCGTTTTGAAAAGCAAGAGCATTATGCTGAGCTCTTTGTTACTACCAGGCTTCAAAAGGGGTGGGGGAAGGCAAACAGGAGCAGAGCTCTGCAGCCCAGGAACCGCAGGCAGGTTTGCCCTTTTGTGAAGCTGCTGCTTTTCAAAAGCTTTGCAAGGCAAAAAAATAAATTTGGATTTAAAAAAAAAAAAAAAAAAAGAAAGCAATTAAAACTAGAACTTCTAGATAACCCCCTAATTGTTTTGGGCCTCTCCCGGGCTTGCAACTAACCATGCACAATCAATCTTTTGTCATGCTTGTTTTCTGGTTTGCCTCTTGCTCATCACCCGTAAACACAGGGAAGGGGAGGAGGGCTTTGTGATAAAGGCCGAGGGTACGAAGGGAGGCTGTACTTCTGATGCTCCTAATTTATTTCTGTAGCTGTAGCAGGAGAAGGCCCTGATCTCAGCTGGACTATCTGACACACAAGATACTAGACTGCCGAACAGGCAAGAAAAAAGCAACAGCATTATCCACCTTTTACACATTTTGATCCAAGCACAGAAAAGAGTAAGCAAGTTGCCCAAGGTCAAGCATGGAGCCTGAGCCAGAGCATTCTCTCTCGAGGCCCAGTGTTTGACAAAAACTCTGCTGCAGATTTGCTTCATGAACTCCTCAAAGGCCCCTTGACCCTTCCAAGGGGAACCTCCGAGCCCCAAGTAGAGTGTTTTTGAGTGATCTCATCTTTGTATAAGAGTACTTCAGGTGCATAATGCCTTAAATTCTGTAGAGATCATTTCTATTACAGCAGTTGGCACAGCTGGAGTTGCATATTTCCCAGGTCACCTGGAAATTCAGCTTCAGAGTGCAAGTCCTAGTATCAGGAATATCCTTCCCATGTTTTGATGTTGAAGGCCAGACAGCATGTAGTAAGGACTCGAATCCTGTGACAGATCTTCTGTAATTTGGATTTAAAAAAAAAAAAAAAAAAGAAAGCAATTAAAACTAGAACTTCTAGATAACCCCCTAATTGTTTTGGGCCTCTCCCGGGCTTGCAACTAACCATGCACAATCAATCTTTTGTCATGCTTGTTTTCTGGTTTGCCTCTTGCTCATCACCCGTAAACACAGGGAAGGGGAGGAGGGCTTTGTGATAAAGGCCGAGGGTACGAAGGGAGGCTGTACTTCTGATGCTCCTAATTTATTTCTGTAGCTGTAGCAGGAGAAGGCCCTGATCTCAGCTGGACTATCTGACACACAAGATACTAGACTGCCGAACAGGCAAGAAAAAAGCAACAGCATTATCCACCTTTTACACATTTTGATCCAAGCACAGAAAAGAGTAAGCAAGTTGCCCAAGGTCAAGCATGGAGCCTGAGCCAGAGCATTCTCTCTCGAGGCCCAGTGTTTGACAAAAACTCTGCTGCAGATTTGCTTCATGAACTCCTCAAAGGCCCCTTGACCCTTCCAAGGGGAACCTCCGAGCCCCATCTGCAAAAGGAGCATGATAATTCTTCATTGCCCTGTGTGGGGGTACCCTATGCCTGGCAAAGTCTGGTGTTTGCCCAGTGTGAATTTCTCTAGGAGAGCAAAAAATACAGCATCTTAATTTTAACACCTGAAGAAAGTCTCTTGCAGAACACAGCAGGTGCCTATCCGTGCTAGTCATGGCAGCAAGTGTCCACGTGGTATTCCTGGATGGTCCTTCCCGATGCTTCATGCAAGGTTTCTTCACTCCCCAGCCCCTCCAGAGGCCACTGAATCTGCTTAAGTGACTCCTACAATGGACTAATGTTGACTTGAACCACTGGGACAAAATGTCTGTGCCCTGGTGGGGAATAGAGTTGCTTTCTTGGATTCTCCGTGGAATTATTTCAGGGCATGTATAGCCAGTTACATGTTAGATCCATGGGCTTTTCTCCTTGCAGCCATAAGTTAGGAGGCTGAGGAGCATGTTGCCTTCCTTAGTGGCAACCAAGTGTCCCCAGCATGGCTGCAAGCCCTGCTTGCCCTTTCTCATGGGTCCACATCCTTACTCTTCCCCTCAAGCATAATTTTCTAGGGGAGATGAAGGAATAATTCCAGCGCAAACCCACTGATTGCAAGTCCTCCAGGAGACCACTAGCAGCTCTACCCCGTCACTGGTAAATGTCTCCCAACTCTAATCAACTCTGTGAGAAAATTAAGCAGCAGCTTCTCCTTTTGGTTTATGGCTCATGAGAGGTTTTTCTCTACCTCTAATGAAAAAATGAAATAGGATTGCTCTCATTTTCCTGCCCTCCATCTTCTTGTGCTCTTTCCACCTTGTTCAGCCACTTGTGAGTTGCTTAAAAAGGTGACTCCACTGCTGTCTAATTTGCCTGCCAGAATATTGTTTACTTCAATGACACTATTAGACAAAAACAAATCCAGGTTTCAGAATTCAAACCACCGCCCTCATGCAAACCTGCCTATGAACACCTAGAACCACCCTGTATTTCTTAAGGCCTTATTTCTCCCAAACTGCAGCAAGGATCCCAGATTCACATAACTCACAGCCAGTGGTAAGTCCCCAGAGACCAGGGACTGCAGAGTAAATCATGCTGTGACAAATGTCTCCAAGCCCTGTGCTCTGTTCCATGGTCACTCCTCATCTCTCACAATCTATTTCAGGGGAAATGAGGACACCAAATACAGCGGGGAGGTGGAGCTGCCTTATGGGAAGACAAAGGCCATGGCAGAAAAACTGGTATTTGAAGCCAATGGAAAAAAGGTACAAAAGTCAACAGTAGCACCCCTGGTATTGGAAGGATGGGTGGATGGAGAGAGATGGTTAGAAAGACCCCACAACTCCTATCAAAGTCTGTATCCAACTTGATGCATAAACCATGTTGCCAAAGCCTGATGTTGCCACACAACCAGGAAGCTGCCAAACTCTCACAAGATCAAAGGGTGCTGCCCTTTAAGCCTGTGCTTTAACTCCACCAGAAGCAATGTGACTTTGGAAAGAGCTGTGTTAAATCAGGGGCCAAGAAACCAGGTTGACCTAGTTCATACTGCATAAAGGTCTAATTTAGGAGTGATATAAGAATTGAAAATACTAGTGTACCCAGAGTCAGTCACCGACCTAAGTTGGTTGGCTAGTCTTTTTAGACTCCCAGTACAGTCAGCAGACAGATGAGTTCTTCTAGAAGATGAAGCAGAATGTAAAAATGAGGTTTGTGTCCTAAATCACTGCCTGGAACATCTCTCTCTCCTGGTTACAGTTTGAGACCAGCAGGCTTTCCTGCCTTCCTCTGGTACCTGACTTCGGTTTTTCCAAATACTCATTTATACATCACAACTGCAGAAGAGTTAATGCCCCTCCTTCCAACATCTCTCAGAGAGCACCACAAGAGTGCAGGTGTGCTATGGAAAAAAAAAAACAAACAAACTGGGCACCTTCTTTCATTTTTAAGGACCCAAACCAGGCCTAAGTGCCCAGAGCACCTCTGCAAATGTTGACTCCTCTAGCCCAATATTCCCAGGTTTTGGTTTTATCTGGCAAACCCAACATCACTGTGGAAGATTTCATCTCTGAGTCCATCACTCACTAACATCCCTCCCGGATTTTCCAGCTGAGCAACGGTGGTAAACTCAGAACCTGCATCATCCGTCCAAACACAGTGTATGGGGAGAAAGCAACATTTCTGCAAGACTTGTATTTGCTTGCCAAAGCCAGGAACGGTGTGATGGACTACCTGGAGCCTGAAAATACAGAGCGTAACTACACATATGTGGGTGAGTGAATGATTGATCTCTTTGGATGTAGTGCTACCAGGCTCTTTTAGTCACAGGGGATTTTACATGTCAGCTTACCCATAATCTTCCAAGACAGAGAAATGAGTATGGTGAATAAGCACTAATATTTTTATAACCATAAAACTTAGACTGGTTAAAATTTTTAAAACAGTTGTTTACATTCCCCTGTTTGTCCTAGGAAGGGTTTTCTTTTTTTTCTTCCCCTTAACATAGGGAAAATGCTGGGGGGAAATAAGTCAGTGGGAAAAAGGATAGAGATCTTTCTTTTTCTAGGTAAATGTTTCAAGGGACATATGGGGGGAGAGAAAGAAATTCAGGCAATATTTTTAATATGTTTTTGGTTGGAAAAGACGCGATTTCTTCTTCATTAGAAGAAAATAAACTAACACTAAGGCTGTACTACATAAGTGATTTTAGCAAGCACAAGAAACTACTCCCAAACCTACAGAAACAGTTTGTTGTGATGTTGAATGCATTTCAGGGGGGTATAACTCACCATCAAATCATGCAGAGTTTTAGTTCTTTCTGTGCAGCACACTTATATGTCTTTTTCCAAAAGTGCAGATAACAGTAGTTTGAAAATGCTGTTAGAGAAGAATCAGGCCTAGATAAATCAAGTGACTTCTTCAAAGGCTCACAGCAGAGCCAGGAATGAAAACCCTCGAGCGCTGCCTCCCATTCATCCTGCTCTCACTACAAAACACTGCCCTTTCGCTTCACATGAACCAGTATCACAAGGCACATTAATTGTCCAGCTCAAAGGGGAGACCAAAGGTTTAAAGGATCTTGGAGGCCTGGATTAACTACTCAGTCTCTCTACAGTGCAGCAGAGTAACACGATGAGCCCTTTCCTTACTTCACAGCATTGAAGCTGGCAGATCTAATGTACTCATTCTACAGTAAACAGGAAAATTGAGCTCCTCCTGAATACCTGCTTCTTTCCCCCTCTTATTTCTCCAGGGAACGTCGCATGGATGCATGTTCTTGCAGCAAAGAACTTGCAGCTGAAACCAGACTTACTCGCAGGACAAGTGTATTACTCCTATGATGACACTCCAACAAGTAAAAGTTTTCTGATAAGGCATGAGCTGTTGTCCTCTATGGACCCCTCAGTGAGACTAGGCTCACACATCCCTTACTGGAAGATGTGGTTAATGATACAATTGCACAGGATAATCAAGGTCATCCTGTACCCTTTCTGGAAGCCACCACCTTTCATAGATTTGCCTTTACTGAACACAATAGTCACCACCTTCTCCTACGAGACAGACAAAGCCTCCAGGCATTTTGGGTACAAACCCCTCTTCACCTGGAAAGAGAGCAAGCACAGAACTGCACAGTGGTTGAAAGCAGCTGTAGGGAACCTGGAACTCCCCCAACCGCATGAAAAGAAGAACTAAGCAGCATGTTTGGTGTGAGGAGAGAGCTTATTACACCAGCAAGCTCCATCTGAACTTCACAACATGCACAGCTCTCTGGCAGAAATTTTGTAAACACTGAGAAATCCTGACATAGAGAAAGAGCAAAACTCTCTGGCTGCAAAAAAAAACCCTTGCCTTGCCAACAGCACAGATATTTTATGTGTCATATGAAACACCAGGGTGCATTTGAAACCATCCTCCAGCAGGTACACGCACACAGATGCAGGGCTTGCTGCCCTCACTCATCCCCACAGTGCCACCACTGCAGAAGGATCACTCCTGGGAACAGGAGAGATGGGTTCAGATGAGAGATGGTGCACAGAAAACCCCTTTTTGATAAAATTAGTTACCCAGTTTTGTTCTCCAGCCTGACCGGCCTCCATCTCTTTCCATGCTCAGCAAATGGACCTCTCCCTTGCCCTGGTCTTGGGCAGCTGGTGGGATAGCTGTACCTGGCTCATACACTCAAGGAGTCTTCAGTGATAATTTTGGTGAAGACAAGGAAAGCCCAGCAAGTTCTTGCTCTGTTTGGGGGTTTAATAAAAAGAAAAAAAGAATACCCTTTTCCAGAGCTACTTTTTTTCAAGACGTTTTCTGTTATTCTTAACGCGTGGAATTTTATATCTGTTTTTAAGTAGTACCCTTGTAAAAGGAAACTTCCAATCTCTTGCACTAACAATGCGTAGGCTGACTTACTTTCTAATCGTATGGATGGATAACTGGTGTCTGCAAGCTTAGAGGTGGAATTCATATAGTTTGTAACTCAAATTCTCTTACCTCCCAGCACTCTAGCAGCAGAGCAAAACAAATTAAAGCCCACGTTCAGCTGCTGCACTGGCAGACAGCAACTTCAGTGAAGGCCTTAGGGGCTGCGTTTATGCTAAATAACGTCTGAACTTCAGGAGGAAGAGGTCATTTCAACTCATTTCATGGCTCTAGAGCTACACAGTCCATCCAGGGCCAGTCTTTCATAGACCATATTTTCTTAACACAGATGGGTCAGGCAATTCTAGAAGATTCACAACAAAACCCGTGATTTCTATCAGTTTATCAGCTTCTCTGTCTTTAAGACATACACAGACTGGCAAACCTACATTAAGCACAATAGAGATTTCAGTTTTCACTTGAGCTTGGAGGAATGGGATATTTTTACAATACTGGTTCAAATCCAAAATTAATTCTGTTGGTATCACACTCGTGTGTTCTGTGAATACATATCCATCTCTTGAGTTTTCCTACAGTAGAAGTGTACACATGCACAAATAAAAGCCTATTTTAATTACAAGTGCCCTAATCCTCCTGGAAAAAAGCAAGTTTTGATTGAAATGATCAAAATTTGCTTCTTGTTAGTCACAGTAATTACCCAGGGAGGAAAGCAAAGCAATTCAGTATGAACTGCCAAGTTAACTTCACTGAAATTCACACTCACAAGAGAATTCTTTGAAAAATGAGATTACAAGTCAAAAGTCATTTGCTCTGGTAATTCATTAATAATTTCATATAACAAATAAATTCGGGGAAAACTGTTGCAATCTGCTCACAGAATTTGGGAAGGTGAACTGTGTAAGTTATCAGTTCGCTACTTTATTTTTCATTTGTGTTGGGAGGTTTTGCTGGGTTTTCTATTTCACTAGACATTCTCTTTGCTTTTTTTTTTTTTTTTTTTTTGCCATTATTCAAATGGGAGATGACAGCTTGCTAAGAATTTGACAAAGAAATAAAAAGCAATTTCTCATGTGCATTGCCACCGTATAACGACATTGACCTCAACAGGTTTTAATGCTTTTGAAACCTTGGTTTTCTCTTGCCAAAAAAGAGCCACTGGGTGGAGCTGCAAGTCTGTGAGACAGGTAACTTCCCCTCAGGAGTTTGTGTTGCAACCACTTTTGCTTTAGCAGTTTCTTAAAATAATGGAAAGATCTGCCCAGGGAGCGGGGTGGGTGGATGGGCTGGGGGTGTCCCACCATCCGGGTTTCTCCTCAGTCTGTGGTGTTTGGAGTTTTGGCCTTCCCTCGCCTGGCTGGACACAGCCAGCGTTTTATCTCCACAGTGTCACGTAATCAGAGAGTCTGAGGAAATTATTTTTCCACTCCGAACTCATTAGGAAAGAATAAAAGTTTGCTTTCTATTTTTAAAAGCAGAATTAAATATGGCACTCTGCCCTTTGAGAAAACTTGCCTAAGTACAAGAGCTGATACTTTCAGTCCCCATCAGAGCCCTTGTGGGCTTTGGAGCTGCCGAAGGTATCAGATGGGAATGTTGTCAAGACCCTGTGCTATCCCAGAGACCAATGCTTTACAAGTTTTCCTGCTTTCAGAAACCTTTGTTTTTTTTTTTTTTTTTTTTTTTTTTTTTTTGCCATTATTCAAATGGGAGATGACAGCTTGCTAAGAATTTGACAAAGAAATAAAAAGCAATTTCTCATGTGCATTGCCACCGTATAACGACATTGACCTCAACAGGTTTTAATGCTTTTGAAACCTTGGTTTTCTCTTGCCAAAAAAGAGCCACTGGGTGGAGCTGCAAGTCTGTGAGACAGGTAACTTCCCCTCAGGAGTTTGTGTTGCAACCACTTTTGCTTTAGCAGTTTCTTAAAATAATGGAAAGATCTGCCCAGGGAGCGGGGTGGGTGGATGGGCTGGGGGTGTCCCACCATCCGGGTTTCTCCTCAGTCTGTGGTGTTTGGAGTTTTGGCCTTCCCTCGCCTGGCTGGACACAGCCAGCGTTTTATCTCCACAGTGTCACGTAATCAGAGAGTCTGAGGAAATTATTTTTCCACTCCGAACTCATTAGGAAAGAATAAAAGTTTGCTTTCTATTTTTAAAAGCAGAATTAAATATGGCACTCTGCCCTTTGAGAAAACTTGCCTAAGTACAAGAGCTGATACTTTCAGTCCCCATCAGAGCCCTTGTGGGCTTTGGAGCTGCCGAAGGTATCAGATGGGAATGTTGTCAAGACCCTGTGCTATCCCAGAGACCAATGCTTTACAAGTTTTCCTGCTTTCAGAAACCTTGCTGGGAACCTCATCATGCTTTTGTTCCTGTCCTGCTCATCATCACCTATGATTTTGATGCTTATCAGAACACAGATGACATGCAGGATAAGGAGCAGGGATTTTTAAAGGTAGTTAAGTGTGGGATTTTTCAAAAGGATTGGAATTAGTTGGCTGCTTAGCTTATTTTATACCTACCCACCTCCCAGGCTTTGACAAAAAGCAAGTAGAGAATTCCCTTGCCCTGCTCATGGTAGAAGTGGGGGGAAAAGTTAGACAGCAAAGGCTCTGTGCTGTTTTCCAAAAAGATGAGTAAGCTTCCTTTGGCTGCCCTGCACTTTGGCTCCTCCAAACTAATGCTGCTGCAGACTTCCTGTTAGATCCTTGATTTTATCAGATTATAACTTGTTTTCTCCTGGCAATGCTTTAATTCTTTCTACTGCACTGGGCTGTCATTGGCTTTTCTTTTCAGGGTCTCAGCTCTATTATGTAACAACAGCAGCAAAAAAGAGAGGAAAAAAAAATATTTCAGATCTGTTTCTACTTCTGGAGAGGAGCCTTTGTGCACAATTACTCATCCAAGAGATTCAGCAGGTATAACTGCTTCCCCCAGGGGCTCCATTATATAATTGGATTTCAGCCATACAAATTAAATCCTATCTTACCCCTTAGTTAAGCCAGGCAGTAAGTATTTAATGCTAATATCCCTGACAACTATTGCAGGGAGAAGCAGAGATGAAGCACAGAGGAGACAGATGCATGCGTTCTCTACTGGAGGAGTGGGAAGGATGAGCAGGGAGGGCATTGACAGAAAGATACCTGCTATATTTTAAACACGGCTAAACTTCCCCAGCAAGAGCCATGGCCTCTGCTGGAGTTGTCCTCTGGGCTGGAACATGGTTCTCCCTTCGTTTTCCATCCTCCAACGTTCCCATGTGTGCACTGAGCGTTCCCCCCCGCCCCCAACACACACACACAATTCAAAGAGCCACATGCCTAACCCTGTTTGAGTTTCTATGGAAGTCTCTGTTCTTGTGTAATGTCTGAAGGAAGCAAGTTTAGTAATATTAAAACTCAAGCCAAACACATAAACAAGCAAAGAATCTCCAAATTAAAAAGAAAATCTCAACCGAGTTACTCATTCATCTGCATTTTCTGTTGGGTTCTGTCTTCTCCTGGCATGTTTCTTTTAGACAAAGCCCTCTGGGCAGAGACCATCTCTTTTGGTGTCTGGTACATCAGTCACATAGTTAGTACATAGTAATAAAGGAAAATAGATTCATGGTAGGAGTTAAACCAGTCAGTCTGGTACTGTAATTGGAACATAATCTCATATTGACAGTATTTAACACAGGATGCAGAGGGAACAGATGGCAGCACGCCAGGCCTCAATCGTTCTGCAAATATTGGAAAGATATTTTCCAAGTCCAGCTCCTGAACCTCATCTCCGATGTCGGAAGCTTTGCTTCCCCAAACGGGCCTAGATCCACTCACTAATCCTGGTTAAAGCCCAACACACCCATGTGCTCCTGACTCCGCAGACAACCCGGCTGGCAGCACTTCTATTGCTAACTGTCTTACAGATGTTTAAGGAGAGATTTTGAAAAAGCATCAAGGGCAAAAGTCTCCCACATCCATTGGTACAAGCGCTCCCAAACCTCTCAAAACACTCACGAGCCTTTCCCTCACAGAGATCTTGCTTGTGCCACGAGACACAGACCCTTGTGCACTCTCAGGGTCAGGGATACCCACCAGTGGATCAGCCTCCTGCTTCTTTCTTCTCTAAAATCTTCAGTCAGACAATTAACTCCATGGGGCCATATTAGCAATAAAGAGTAGCTCCTTTCTCAAGCCTAAAACACTGAGCTAAAGCAGGTGGAAGGAGAGGGAGCACATTCATGTCCAAGATGCATCTTAATGGGATGGAGTGCAGCTGTGTAAGTGCAGACACAAACTCAGCTTTGCTGTGCTATGGGAGAAGTTACCATGCTTCTTATGTCTGCTAAAGGAAGTTTAAATTGATTTTTCTCTCTTTCAGCAATTAATTCCCATTAATCAACTTACTGTACAATGCTGCACTATAATTCACAAGTTTTATGTATTATATGAATAAAATTGCACATATATTTTTATGTGATTTTCATTTAATTGAATTCCAAGGAGATTTATCTGCTGGGTTATTAATAAATCTTAATATGGCCTATAACACTCAATTGATATTTAATTAACCTGCAATAACTGCCTTGTAAAATGTAAATTAAATGCTTTATTTTTCCAGGCATATAACCTTAAATCAAATTTTTCATTCTACCAGCAAAGCAAAAAGGAGTGGGGAAAAAACAAGATTGCGGGCAACCAAACCTTAGACCTGAAAATATTTGATGTTTAAAGAGGTTCAAAATGGGAACCGGATCCATGCTTTGTAATCAAGTTCTTCTGCCGAGGAAGTACTTTTCCACTGTCTCCCCACCTTTAAAGATCACAAGAATCTGGGTGGATTTAGATGAAACATCAAAATCTCAAGAGACTTGAAGAGAAATGAGAGGCGCCCATTACTAATAATAAGGTTGCAAATTCCCATAGGTATTGTGGTATTTGGCATTTTTCTTAAAGTCTTGGCTCCTGGAGTCACATTATCAAACAAGAATGTCAATTTTCATTTAAAAATGAAAAAAGGAAAGTTGTTAAAGCCCTTTGATAGGGGAAGAAG